ATCCCTTTATGGCATCAAATGAGAATAAAACTTTGCACTAGAACTAAAAAAGTACAGAGCTTTACAAATCACTTAACCCAAAACCAGCTAAAGGTGTTAGTTATCCGTGCATGTCCATTTCAATAGGAGGCAGAAGACAGCAAGGTTTCTGTAATAATAGAACCTTCAGGCTGGTGAGGGTTGAGAAGGGTCCTATATTTGGAGGGACGAGAAGCCTGAAGTTGCATTTCTACTTACATTCTAGCCATGAATTTGTTCTTAAGCAATTGCCTTTGCCAGGCTTGTACTCTGTTAGAACTAGTTCTATCATTATTACACTCTTTCAAACAAACAAAACCTCACCAAACTGTACTACTTCCTAAACCTGTACAACACCCTTCCCACACCATGACACACACCAAAAGGAACAGACTAAAAATAATCTGCAATTAAGTGAATTAAAGGTGATGATTACAGAAACTCCTAAGACATTTGGGGCTTATCCCCAATTACATCTTTTATTCAAATGAGCTTTAATTTGTGAAAATGCAGAAGTCTGAAAGAAGGTAGAACAATGACAATTTAGCAAATATGCCAACAGAAAGCATTTCTTAGACAATTCCTAAACTGTTAAAACATCATGACTTGGCTCGTTGCGGTGGCTCACACCTGTAATCCCAACACTTTGGGAGACCAAGGCAGGTGGATTGCCTGAGGTCAGGAATTCAAGACCAGCCTGACCAATGTAGTGAAACTCCGTCTCTACTAAAAATACAAAAAATGAGTTGGGTGTGATGGCAGGTGCCTATAATTCCAGCTACTAGGGAGGCTGAGGTAGGAGAATCACTTGAACCTGGGAGGTGGAGGTTGCAGTGAGCCAAGATCATGCCATTGCACTCCAGCCTGGGCAACTCTGTCTCAAAAACAAAAAACAAAAACACATTATGACTAAATAGTTTCATAAATGGTTAAAAACTCCTTTAAAAGTTTTATTTCCTTAAAATTGGCAAAACATCTGTACTTAATTCCTAATCAAATGTCCACTAATAAGAGAAGTACAAAATGCTGTAACCTCACCACTTATATAGCCCTACGCAATAGTTTTTATAACTAGCACATGCAAATGGTATTTTCTCAGTAAGATGATTGTTATCTATGGTTCAAAATAATAACTCTCACATGAAGTTTATTATACCAGACACTATTCTAAGTAGTTTACATAATTCATCTAATTGTCATAACAATCCTGTAAAGGAGTAAAGGAGGCATTACTGCCAGGCATGGTGGCTCACACCTGTAATCCCAGCACTTTGGGAGGTCAAGAGTTCGAGACCAACTTGACCAAAGTGGAGAAACGCTCCCGTCTCTACTAAAAATACAAAAATTGGTTGGGAATGGTGGCAGGCGCCTGTAATCCAAGCTACTCAGGAGACTGAGGCAGAAGAATCACTTAAACCTGGTAGGAGCAGGTTGTGGTGACCTGTGATCCCACCATTGCACTCCAGCTTGGGCAACAAGAGACTCCATCTCAAAAAAACAAACAAACAAATAAAGCAGACACTATTATTATTCTAATTTTATAGATGATAAAACTGAGGCTCACAGGTAATTCTTATTTAAGAATTACTTTTCTGGCTGGGTGTGGTGGCTCACACATGTAATCCAAGCACTTTGGAGGCCAAGGTGGGCGGATCACCTGAGGTCGGGAGTTCAAGACCAGCCTGATCAACATAGTGAAACCCCATCTTTAAAAAATAAATAAATAATTACTTTTCCAAACACTTAGTGTTATTCATTAAATATCTAATACCAGCTAATCAAGTCATATGAGTTCTAAACAATTTAAATTTACAAAAAATATGGTTAAATGTATGTAAGTAATCATCAATTCCAATGCAAAACTTTCACAATGAATATAAAGTTAGTATTCCTCAATTATGTTACATTTTTTACTGGCAAAGGGAATAAGTAGTAAAATGTCTTATTATTGTTTTTTTTTTTTTTAGAGAAGGGGTTTCACCGTGTTGGCCAGGATGGTCTCGATCTCTTGACCTCATGATCTGCCCGCCTCAGCCTCCCAAAGTGCTGGGATTACAGGTGTGAGCCACCATGCCCGGCCTGTAATTGTTCTTAAAGTGCTTCTGATAGTTCCTCAAATTCTTCATAAAACAAAAGATAGATGAAAACAGGACAAATTCCACCTCTCTACCCACTCCAGGTATGTTTTTATTCTTCAAAATCTTTTGCATCATACCAAATTAATCCTTGAAAATACAACTCTGGGCCTGGTGCAGTGGCTCACATCTGTAATCCCAGCACTCTGGGAGGCTGAGGTGGCTTAAGAATCACTTGTGGCCAGGAATTCATGACCAGTCTCGACAAATAGTGAGACCTCATCTCTACAAAAAATAAAAATCAGCCAGGCATGGTGGTATGCATCTGTAGTTCTAGCCGCTTGGGACTCTGAAGTGGGAGAATGGCTTAAACCTAGGAGTTGGAGGCTTGCAGTGAGTTATGCTCAAGCCACTGTAGTGCAGCCTAAGAGATGGAGCAAAGACCCCGTGTCTAAAATAAAGAAAAAGAAAAACCAACTCTGATAATGGGCACTATTTGGATAAACTGATGGTTCCCAGGGCAAAGGAATGACTTTGTAGCAGGCTTAGGGGAGATCTCTCCTGGAAGTTACTCAAAATGTCCTATCTCTCCAAATCTAATCCATTTATACATGCATCAAGGCCCAATTCCTGTCCTCCACAAAGACTCTCTCTTCCCTGATTTCTGAAGGTGGGTGACACACAATTTCAGCTTTCTTATGTCATGATGCTAATCATAACTCTCTTGGGCTTATCTTCCCAACCAGCTTGTGGGTGTTTTTTGTAACCATCTGCTCTGAGTACCTAGCACAGTACTGAACAGGCACTGTACAAATTCAGTCAGCACTTGTTTGACTAAGCATTCTGGCTCAATACATACATTTGCACTGGTTGTGGTGAGAATCTCCCTCACAAATTATTCACTCTTTGTCAATAGGGAAAACAGTTTTCCATGAGCACTTAGTTGTTTGTCCACAAGCCACATGGTAAAAGTATCCCAGAGGACTACAGCCATCTAGGGCCTTTCCATTTGGTCAAACATATATAAACCAGGGTGGGATTACTGCTCCCTTCATTCTGAAGCAAAAATGGCTTTTTGCATGCTCACTATGGTTTACACTTTCTCATTATGTGACTCTTTATTTTTCTTTGGTTCTCCTTATTTCTCCATGTGACTCTTTAACATAAATACTTTAATTTGATGTCACCCTTGACCTAAAGTAGTTGTAATTACAAATGTGGCCAGAAGTTATGGCCACAAAATGTAATAAAATGCTTGCTGAATCCAAACTGCCTGTATCTCCACTCCTAGGGTCAGGGTAAGTCAGTGGCCAAACAAGTACTGCAAATTATAAAGCGCTAACTACTTTTGCTCATTCAAAATCGTGAAAAGGACTGCCTTGGTAGGTGGTGAGGTTCTCATCATTAAAGGTCTTTACAGAGAAGCTTACGGGCCATATTTTGGGGGGGAGGCTGAAAGAAGCAAACCAATCCAAAAAGGGATGGAACTAGATAATGTCCCTTCCAACTTGAAAACTCTAGAAAGTTGAATTTGTCACAAAGAGAACAGCACTTAATATATCCTAGGCCGGAATAATTCTGTAGTTCCCCATAGCACTCCTCAGTACTATCTGCATGCAGCCCCTGAGTGAGTTACTGGTCATGTCATTCTCAAAGACAGGTATGATGCAGAGTCAGAGCTCAGTTGCTACATCATTCGTTAACAAGAATCATAAAGGTTTACTGAAAAGATAAAATATTGTATGGATCAATACCATTGTATCATACATTGCATTATCGAGGGCTATTCAAATGTATGATGGTATTTTACAGAGCTTCAGAATCCCCAGAGCTCTTTTGCTCCTTTGTTCAAGCTAATGAGGAAGAGACTATACTATAAAAAGAGAGGAAAAAAATCAGTTATGCCGGGCGCGGTGCCTCAGGCCTGTAATCCCAACACTGAGAGGCTGAGGCAGGTGAATCATTAGAGGTCAGGAGTTTGAGACCAGCCTGTCCAGCGTGGTGAAACCCCGTGTCTACCAAAAATACAAAAATTAGCCAGGTGTGGTGGCAGACACCTGTAATCCCAGCTACTAGGGAGGCTGAGGCAGGAGAATCGCTTGAACCTGGGAGGCGGAGGTTGCAGTGAGCCGACATCACACCACTGCACTCCAGCCTGGGCAGACAGAGTGAGACTCCGTCTCAAAAAAAAAAAAAGAAAGAAAGAAAGAAAAGAAAATTCCTAGTACAAATTCACATGAAAATTTTTGGAGCACTAGGACAGCAAATATCCTCGTGTAAGTAAAAAATTGGTGGTCACAGTATCCGTGTATTTTCTCTAAAAGTTTAGACTGAAAGAACTCTCACAATCCCAGGTCCCTAATTGTTTAAAGGTCTCCAGGCATCGGATCATGTCTTCCAAAGCCTTGCTACACGGTTTTACTTTCTGGGTAGTTTCCCCAATATGTGACAAGAACTTGTTTGTAATTTCCCACAATTGTCAGATATTTTAGGTCCTTGCTCAGAAATTGATTTTCTACAGAATCCATCTCGAGTTCCTGAATTTGCTTCTCGGGCTTTACCTACCGTTCAGTTGCCTCTTCATAGGGAAGGGTGGTGCGAGGCAACAGAAAGGAATTGACTTCAGGGACTTTAATGGGCAGGAGGCAGAAAACGGGGACGTCGACGCTCTACGAGTGATCAAGACTCCCGATTTTGAAGGGAAGGACGAGCCACAGTAGCTACAGCCCCACTCCAGGAAGCTGCAGCTGGAAGAACAGGTATTCCAGCTCTCGTTCCCCATACCTGGAGGCTGCCCAGGACCCCACAACCTCACAGACACCTGAGCTCCAGACCTTAGAGACAGCCGCCCATGGTTCTGAGGCCAGCCTGAGGCGCCCGGCATTCCCACCCCCAACCCGAACTCACAGCCAGTCTCCTTCTTGATCTCCTCGAGCTCTTCGTCCCTCAGTAACGTGGAGGCCCGAGAACCCATCGCCGTGTCGGAGGCTCCTCTGGGAGCAGCGGCGCCAGAAAAGACGGCGACAGGAGGGAAGGAGGGAGGGGAGAAAGGGCTAGGGGTCAAGAAGGGAGAGGGCAGTGTTTCCACTGCGGACCCAGGAGGGAACCCAGGGGTGGTGCGAGGGGAGGGCGGCCCCGAGGACCCGCCAATCAGGCGCGAGGCAGCGCCCGGCTCAGGAGCCGACGTCAGCGTTCGAGTTCCAGCCCCGAATGAATCAGCCCAGCTCCAACCCAAGTCCAGCAGAAGACGGACCCCGCCCCCGGAACCGCAGCTGCCACCGGCCTTAAAAGGGCGATGCCATTCTGGCGCTAACGACGCAATTAAAAGGGCAACTCCATTGATCAACCGTTTGACAACTAACCTGCGGCAGGCAGCGTAGCCTACCCTTTCTCACAGGCATCGAACACTAGGAATCCAACTCGATAGCTGGTACGCATTGCGGAGATAAACGTCGAGTGGGGGAAACCCTAGGGTGTGCCCCTAGAGAACCGCACGCGGGGTTTCCCTTCATCTTCTCTGGCGGCCGTCCTCCTCCAGGCCGCAGGGGGCGCTGGGGAGCCAGCCTCGGGGTCGCACGCTGATTGGCTTCTCGGGAAACGGACAATTCTCGACGTTGGGCCGGGCGGGCGTCGCCTTTGCGGCGCTGGGGCCTGGCGTGGCCAGGTTGCTTTTAGGCTGTGATTTGATAACTCCTGCAGGGTGGCGTGGAGCGCCTTGAGACTTCTTCCTTCACTGTAGCCTCTCTTCTTTTAGTCCCAGACTGAGGAACTAACCACTTGGGTGAAATTGGGGTCCAGATTTCCCAAACTTGCTTCGGAGGAAAAAGCCCTAACGGTGGAAGACAGTGAATTCCTAGCGTATGGTCCGCCGTTTATTTGAAGTTTCTTATTTTTGTCTTAAAAATGAGAAAATGCATTTTATTCTCATGGTGTATTGTTTGTTTTGATGGAAAAGGTAGTCCGGGCCCGATGGGTCACACCTGTAATCCCAGCAGTTTGGGAGGCCGAGGCGGGCAGATCACCTGATGTTGGGGATTCAAGACCACCCTGACTAACATGGAGAAACCCCGTCTCTACTAAAAATACAAAATTAGCCGGGCGTGGTGGCGCATGCCTGTAATCCCAGCTACTCAGGAGGCTGAGGCAGGAGAATCGCTTGAACCCAGGATGCAGAGGTTGCAGTGAGCCGAGATCGCATCATTGCACTCCAGCCTGGGCAACAAGAGCGAAACTGCGTCTCAAAAAAAAAAAAAAAAAAAAAAAAAAAAAAAGGTAAAAGTCACCGGTTAAATTGGTACCCACTATCAGGTGAACCAGTTTTTACTGCTTCACTTGCCTTAGCCCTTCACACCTGCTTGGTTAGAACTCACATATAGAATATGGAAAAACCGAATTCCTACCACTGTTAGTACCTAAGTACTAGGATATTTTTGTCTTAGCAAGCTTCCCAGGTCAATTTAGGTTATTAATTTTAAGCGTTACCTAAGGCTTTACAGCTTAGCCTGAGGCCCCACACGTTACCTGCAGGCTGAGGTTCTACTTTGAAGAACTAGAGTTTTCTTTGTTGTTTTGTTTTTTTTGATACAGAGTCTCACTCTGTTGCCCAGGGTGGAGTGCAATGGCCTGATCACGCCGCAATTTTGGCTCACTGCAACCTCTGCCTCCCAAGTTCAAATGATTCACTTGCCTCAGCCTCCCGAGTAGCTTGTATGACAGTTGCGTGCCACCACACCCAGCTGATTTTTGTATTTTTACTAGAGACAGGGTTTCACCATCTTGGCCAGGCTGGCCTTCAATTCCTGAACTCAGATGATACACCCACCTCAGCCTCCCAAAGTGTTGGAATTAGAGGCATGAGCCTTAGATTACTTTTATGATTGGTGTGGGCTTGTCTGACCTAGTGATGTTGTTCCTAACACTCAGTAACATTTTGGATGTGCACAAAAGCTTAATTACTGGGGCTGAGCTGCTTTTTACGTTGGAATATGGCTGTGACAGGAAAACTTTGTCAACCCCATGAATGTCCATTTTCTCAGCCCTGAAACCCATCTCTAGATGCTGACCTTACTTTTTTCCTTTCTAATCTTGAATCTTACCATTTGCAGCTGTCACCAGTCAAAGCTTTCATTACTTTGTGTTAGTCATTCTCTTATTTTCCAGGCATTCCACAAACTTTTCTTTCTTGGGTAGCTTTTAAAAAGATAAGTTAGCTTTTGCGTCTATTAAGGGCTGGTTTTTTTTCCCAGTTTTATGTATTTTGCTTTAAAAATTCTCCTTTTGCTTGTTGGATTAACTTAATGATTCTCTTAGACTCTGATGATTTGTTTTATATTCTGTCTGGTTGCATAATACTTGGTCTTGAGCTAGACTACAAGCATCCTACACTAGAGGCCTGATCTTAGTTAAGATTGCATTACCTTCTAGTTGTGTGACTTTGGGCAGGTGTCTTAAACTTCTAAACTGCAAGTTCCTCATTTATAAATTAGGTTATGGTTGTTGTATCAAGTAATATTTGTATAAGAACTTGATTGACCTTAAAATATAAAAATATAGGTTACTGAAAATGGTAGGTAACGTCTCACCTTCTTCCTAGTTGACTTAGGAAGGTCACTGAAAATGGTAGGTAACATCTCACCTTCTTCCTAGTTGACTTAGACTCTATTTCATCAGTGTTTTTATGGCTAAATTGCAAAATTCACTGAGTTTTCCTAGTGTGGCAAAAGTAAGCAGCTTTTAAATTTAAAACGCTGTAGAAGAATGTTTATTTAAGTTTCTAAATACAAGGACATCTAAATAACAGAATAGTTCTAAAATAACTTTTAAAAGTTACTGTATTATGGTAAATAAGAGTACCTACTCTCTTTTTTTCTTTTTTTTTGAGACAGAGTTTCGGCTGGGCGTGGTGGCTCACACCTGTAATCCAAGCACTTTGGAGGCCAAGGTGGGCGGATCACCTGAGGTCGGGAGTTCAAGACCAGCCTGATCAACATGGTGAAACCCTGTATTTATATTTAAGAAAAAAAAAAAAAAAGGAAATAATGGTTTTGGCCGGGCGCAGTGGCTCACACCTGTAATCCTAGCACTTTGGGAGGCTAAGGTGGGTGGATCACCTGAGGTCAGGAGTTCAAGATCAACCTGGCCATCATGGTGAAACCCCATCTTTATAAAAAAAAGAAAAAAGAAAAAAAAAAAAAGAGAGAGTTTCACTCTTGTCTCCCAGGATGGAGTGCAGTGGCAGGATCTCAGCTGACTGCAACCTCCATCCCCTGGGTTCAAGTGATTCTCCTGGCTCGACTTCTAAGTAGCTAGGATTACAGGCATGTGTCACCACACCCTGGCTAATTTTTGTATTTTTAGTAGAAATGGGGTTTCACCATCTTGGCCAGGCTGGTCTTGAACTCCTGACCTCAGGTGATCTGCCCGCCTCAGCCTCCCAAAGTGCTAAGATTACTGGCATGAGCCACTACTCCCAGCGGTGAGTACTCCAATTAAAGGCCAGAGATTGTCTAACTAGGTTAAAAAAAGAAAACAGAACCCAAGGCCAGGTGCAGTGGCTCATGCCTGTAATCCCAGCACTTTGGGAGGCCTAGGTGGGCCACTTTGGTTCACCTGAGGTTCAAGACCAGCCTGACCAACATGGAGACACCCCATCTCTAAAACATAAATAAATAAATAAAATTAAAAAAACAAAAAAACAGAACCCAAACATATGCTATTTTGAAGACATACACTTTGAATATAAAGGCACTGATATGATAAGGTTTGGTTTCTGTGTCCCCACCCACATCTCATCTCAATTCTTAGTGCATTTTTTCTTTGTAGATTTTCGTATTGTAATTTTTTTTTCTTTTTTTTGAGAAAGTATGTTGCTCTGTTGCCCAGGCTGGACTGCAGTAGGGCGATCTTGGCTCAATGCAACCTTTGCCTCCTGGGTTCAAGTGAGTGATTCTCCTGCCTCATCCTCTTGAGTAGCTGGGACTAGAGGCCCAGGACACCGTGTGTGGATAACTTTTGTCTTTTTAGTAGAGATGGGGTTTCACCATGTTAGCCAAGCTGGTCCTAAAGTCCTGGCCTCAACTGATCTGCCTGCTTTGGCCTCCCAAAGTTCTGGGATTACAGGTGTGAGCCACTGTGCCTGGTCTGTATTGTTGTAATTCTTTATAATGGACATGTATCTTTTTTTTTTTTTCTTATTTTTTAATTTTTTTCAAAGACAGGGTTTTACCATATTGGTCAGGCTGGTCTCGAACTTCTGACCTCAGGTGATCCGCCCACTTCAGCCTCCCAAAGTGCTGGGATTACAGGCGCCAGGCGCCTGTATCATTTTTACAAAAACATTTGAGTGTGTGGCATGTGGCAGTTTCATCTGTCAGCTTCGCATGACTGGTTGATTACAGTATGCAGCCCAATCCCCAAGCTGTGGCTCAGGTGGCTTGGAATGGTCTTTGCAATAACATGGCAACTGGATTGGTTATGCATTAATTGTGTTGGTTGCTTGGTAACAATGTCAATCTATGGAAATGTTATTAAACCAGAAAAGGATACATCCAGAAGAGAGTACATCCAGACATTTCTGGGTAAACAATTTATTTTTCAATCTTCAATTTGGCTTTTATTTTAAAATACTTTTAGCTAGAACAGTCATACGGCAGAAAATAATAAAACACAAAGAAATGGAGCATTTCAAGTACCTAGACATAAAAATTAATACGATAGCATAGACCCAAGTTATGGGAAACAGTCTGTAAAATTCTATTCATTAAACACAATTTGAAAGAAAAGCTCTTTCCCAATGTACCACTATTGTCCTACCTCCCTTGATTTCCTTTTAATCCCTAAGTAAAGGGTAAATTTAGTTGCTTTACTTAAAATTATCAGCTTCAGTTTTGGTAAAAATTACCATGCCCTTAAAATCTCAACCAGAGTTATAAAAAATATGAGCCCGGCCAGGCGCAGTGGCTCACGCCTGTAATCCCAGCACTTTGGGAGGCCGAGGCAGGTGGATCATAAGGTCGAGATCGAGACCATCCTGGTCAACAAGTTGAAACCCCGTCTCTACTAAAAATACAAAAATATAGCTGGGCAGGGTGGCGCGCACCTGTAGTCCCAGCTACTTGGGAGGCTGAGGCAGGAGAATTGCTTGAACCCAGGAGGCGGAGGTGGCAGTGAGCCGAGATCACACCATTGCACTCCAGCCTGGGTAACAAGAGCAAAACTCCGTCTCAAAAAAAAAAAAAAAAAAAAAAAAAGAGCCCAAGTAGTTATGCTGCCCTAAACAATTTATTGAAGCATGTATTGGCAAGTATTTCTGCTGATGTCAACTTTTCTTCATTTGTTCTTTTCATTTTTTTTTGTTATGTTATATAATTTTGCCATTAAAAAGCCTCTAAATGAAGCCAGGCGCAGTGGCTCATGCCTGTAATCCTAGGACTTTGGGAGGCCGAGGTGGGTGGATCACCTGAGGTCAGGAGTTCGAGACCAGCCTGGACATCAGGTTGAAACCCCATCTTTAAAAAAAAAAGCCTCTAAATGTTCTGCTTCTTTCTTTTAGCTAAGGAAGAAAAGATGATATCATGCCCATTTTGTTTTGTTTTGTTTTGTTTTTTTTGAGACAGAGTCTCGCACTGTCACCCAGGCTGTAGTGTAGTGGCATGATCTCAGCTCACTGCAATCTCCACCTTCTTCCTGGTTTCAAGCGATTCTCCTGCCTCAGCCTCCTGAGTAGCTGGGACTTCAGGCATGTGCCACCATGCCCATCTAATTTTTTTGTATTTTTAGTAGAGATGGGGTTTCACCATGTTGGCCAGGATGGTCTCGATCTCCTGACCTCGTGATCTGCCTGCCTCAGCCTCCCAAAGTGCTAGGATTACAGCTGTGAGCCACTGTGCCCGGCCCTATCCTGCCCATTTTTTAAAACAAAGAAGCTAAGCCTATCTTGCCCAATTTCTTATGGTTTTCAGTTTCCTATGTATGAGAGTTGGTGCTTGCAATGATCCTTTTCTCATCACTCCAAAAAGATGAATAGAACTGAATTATTCAGATTTTATTCTTCTTGTCCATTACAGATATGAGAAAAGGAAAATAACTTTGCTCCTGTAAAATATTTTAAAATTCATAGATCTCTTTACTAATTTTCAAGTGTTTGAATGCTTAAAGAAGATAATTTGAAGGCAGCTTTTGGAATCAATTAGCATGGATCCCAGCAGCGACTACTATTTCCTCAACAAGATCTTGTGGAGAAGGGTGAAACTCACTTTGGTCTGTGGTGTCTTCGAGGGTGTGCTTCAGCATGTTGACCCTAACAAGATTGTTGTCCTCAAGAAAGGTCTTGTTCTATTTTTCATAATGTTCTGCCTTTGAAGAGATTAATGATTGAGTTTTAGTGATAGGTTTGGGCTCAATTAGCAATTGGGAGGGTGGCATTGTTCCTCTTTTAGGGAAAGTGTGTGAGGAAAGTTAGAATACTGTTTTTCCCAAACAGAATAATGTGACTGTATATGCTGGTTGTCCCTACTTCTATACTTCTGACATGATAGCAGGAATTTTCAATATAAAAAGTTGTTTTAATTTAAAAAACATTTTTTTAAATTTGTTTTTTGTTGTTGAGATAGAGTTTTGCTCTGTTGCCCCATCTGAAGTGCAGTGGCATGATCTTGGCTCACCGCAACCTCTACCTCCTGGATTCAAGCAATTCTCCTGCTTCAGCCTCCCAAATAGCTGGGATTACAGGTGCATGCCACCACACCTGGCTAATTTTTGTATTTTTCATAGAGACAGGATTTCACCATGTTGGGCAGGCTGGTCTCAAACTCCTGACCTCAGGTGATCTGTCTACCTCAGCCTCCCAAAGTGCTGGGATTATAGGCATGAGCCACCACGCCCAGCGCCCCCCCACCCCTTTTTTTTTTTCTGAGATGGACTCTTGCTCTTGTCACCCAGGCTGGAGTGCAGTGGTGCCATCTTGGCTCACTGAAACCTCTGTCTCCAAGGTTCAAGAAATTCTCCTGTCTCAGCCTTCCAAGTAGATGTGATTACAGGTGCCCACCACCACGCCTGGCTAATATTTGTATTTTTAGTAGAGACAGGGTTTCACTGTGTTAGCCAGGCTGATCTCAAACTCAGGACCTAAGGTGATCCGCCCACCTCAGCCTCCCAAAGTACCGGGATTACAGATATAAGCCGCTGTGCCCAACCCTTTAATATCTTTCCGTATGCATTTTGAAATTAAAAATAACCACCACATTAGTTAGAATTGCTTTTGACTTCAGATGAGCTCACACAGTAAGGGGTTAATTTTTCTCACACAAAAAGTACAGAGATGGGCAGCTGAAGAATAATGCAATGACTGAAAGACACCAGCAGAGATAAGGTGCCTTTTGCTCCTGCTCTGCCACATCAGTGATCATCTCTTATCGTCGTGGTCACCAGTAGGGCCTCTACACCTCCCAGCTTCAATTCCCATTTATCATAAAGAATAAAGCTCAAGAACAGGCAAATGCAACAGATACATAGGGCAATCTTTTTTTTTCTTTTTTTTAAAGACAAAATCAGGCTCTGCTACCCAGGCTGGATTGCAATGGCATGGTGCAATCACAGCTCATTGCAGCCTCAACTACCCAGGGTCAAGTGATCCTCCCACCTCAGCCTCCTGAGCAGCTGGGACTACACTTGTACAACACCTCACCTGGCTAATTTTTTAATCTTTATTTTTTGTAGAGACAGGCTCTTCTTGTGTTGCCCAGGCTGGTCTTAAACTCCTGGGCTTAAGTGATTCTCCATGGCCTCCAAAATGCTAATTTTATATTAGTATTTTTTTCTGATTTAATGTTTCTTTTTTTTTGGGGGGGAAGGGAGATGGAATTTCCATGTCCTCTTTGGTTGTATCACCCTCTCAGTACCTGCATGTCTGGTAATCTGGAAGCTTCAATATATAGAGTTTCCTGGTATTATAAGTTTCAGATTCATCATTGAAACATGTATAAATTGCATTTGATAGGTTAATGTTATTAAGCCATATTTTGAGTTAAAATAGACTTTTATGGGCTAGGATGGGATTGTGACAGGTTTCTGTAACATTAATTCATTTAGTAATCATGTATTGATTGTTTGTGTCTCAGGAACTCTGCTTGGTACCAGGGACACATATAGAAAGAAGGTGGTCCCTGTTCTCAAGAAACTTAGTCAGGACTTAATCCCAGCTATCTGGGAGGGTAAGGCAGAATTGCTTGAGGCCAGGAGTTTAATACGAGCCCAGGCAACATAGCAAAACCACATCTGTAAGAAAAATAAAAATTTTTAATTAATTTTTTTTCTTTTTAAAAAAATTGAGATGGAAGCAGGATGCAGTGGCTTACACCTGTAATCCCAGCACTTTGGGAGGCCTAGACAGGCGGATCACCAGAGGTTGGGAATTCGAGACAAGCCTGACCAACATGGAGAAACCCCATCTCTATTAAAAATAAAAAATAAAAAGAATAAAAACAAATTAGCCAGGCATGGTGGCACATGCCTGTAATCCCAGCTGCTCAGAAGACTGAGGCAGGAGAATCGCTTGAACCCGGGAGGCGGATGTTGCAGTGAGCCGAGATCGTGTCATTGCACTTCAGCCTGGGCAACAACAGCAAAACTCCATCTCAAAAAAAAAAAAAATTGAGATGGAGATTGAGTCTTACTATGTTGCCCAGGGTTGTGTCCAGCTCCTGGGCTCAAGTGATCTCATCTCAGCCTCCCGAAGTTCTGGGATTATAGGCATGAGCCATCACACCCAGCCCCCAACAGAAAAATGTGTTTTGACGGAGTCTCACTCTGTCACTCAGGCTGGAGTGTAGTGACACTATCATGGCTCATTTCTACCTTGACCTCCTGGGTTCAAGTGATTCTCCTGCTTCAACCTCCTAAATACCTGGGACTACAGGCATGTGCCACCAAGCTGAGTAAATTTTTAAAATTTTTGTAGAGATAGGGTCTCCCTGTGTTGCTCAGGCTGGTCTTGAACTCCTGGGCTCAACCAGTTCTCCCACTCAGCCTCCAAAGTGCTGAGATTAGAAGTGTGAGCCACCACATCCAGCCTAAAAAACAATTTTTAAAAAAATTAGCCAGTCTTGGTGGCTCACACCTGTAGTCCCAGCTATTTGGAGCTGAAGTGGGAGGATCACTTAACCCCAGGTGTTTGAAGCTGCTGTGAGCTATGACCATGCCACTGCACTCCAGCCTGGGCAACAGAGCCAGACCTCCATCTCTAAAAAAAAATTTTTTTTTAACTAAAAACTTACTCTAAAAGAAGAAAAAAAAAAACTCTACTAGATAGATAGGTAGACAGGTATAATGGAGTGTGAGATCCTCTCTGAGAAGATGCAAAGGATGCTATGAAAACACAAAGATTCAGCTAATTTGGATCTAGAAGTGCTTGAATTAGGACAGTGGAGTGATCTTCTAAAGGAGGAATTGGTGGTGGAACTCCATCTGGTTGAGTAGGAGTCAACAATGAGAAAGGGACCCGGAGTAATGGCTCATGCCTATAATCCCAGTACTTTGGGAGGAATCTTGGCTCACTGTAACCTCTGCCTCCCAGGTTCAAGGGATTCTTCTGCCTTGGTCTACTGAGTAGCTGGTATTACAGGCACATGCCACCATACCCAGCTAAGTTCTGTATTTTTTAGTAGAGGCAGAATTTTGCCATGTTGGCCAGGCTGGTTTTGAACTCCTGACCTCAGGTGATCCACCTGCCTTGGCCTCCCAAAATGCTGGGATTTACAGTCATGAGCCACTGTACCTGTCCCAGTTTAAAAATCTTTAGTAAGTCTGTTCTTAGTTGAAAATATGAGTGAAGCTGAGAAGAATAGTTCACGTTGGAGGAAAAATGGATGTCAGGACAACTAAGAAGTGGATATGATCATTCAAAGAGAAGGAAAAAGGATGAGGGACAAATGTTGGAGACCATCAATGTACAAGGGGCAAGCAGAGGTGTGGAGACTGGAAGGAACAAATCAGAGAGCCACTGTAACAGTGGTTATAAGAAAGTGGATTGCCGGGCAGGGTGGCTCACACCTGTAATCCTACAACTTTTGAGGGGCTGAAATGGGAGGATAGCCTGAGCCCAGGAGTTTGGGACCAGCCTGGGCAACATAGTGAGACCCAATCTCTACCAAAAAAAAAAAAAGAAAAATAGCAAGGCATGGTGGCACATGCCTGTAGTCCCAGCTACTTGGAAGGCTAAGGAGAAGGATGGCTTAAGCCCAGGTGTTCGAGGCTGCAGTGAGCTAGTATTATGCCACTGCACTCCAGCCTGGACAACAGAGTAAAACCCTGTGTCAGTTAAAAAAAAAAAGGCATATTAAAATCACTGAGTCCTGAATTTGACTCCTGGCTGTTTTTTGCTAGCAGTGGTACCTTGAGCTAGTTATTCAAACTTTCAGAGCCTCAGAGTCCTCCATAACTGAGATAATGAAATTCTTATTATGTTACTAGAAAACTGAGTATAGAGAAATAGCATGATGCCAGCCAGGCACGGTGGCTCACACCTGTAATCCCAGCACTTTGGGAGGTTGAGGGCGGGCGATCACAAGGTCAGGGGTTCAAGACCAGCCTGACCAACATGGTGAAACCCCATCTTTCTATAAAAAAGATAATAAATAAATAAAAGAACAAAAGGAAATAACATGATGCCTGGCTCAGTGGGTGCTCAATATGGTAGCTCTACGTAATTAGTAGGAAAAGAATCACAGTGTCTTACAACTAAAGAAGAAAGAAGAGAAGTTTCCACTCACATCGTGGCTCACACCTATAATCCCAGCACTTTGAGAGGCTGAGGTGGGATCAGCCTCTTGATCTTGATCAGATCACTTGAGACCAGGAGTTAAAAAGAAAATAGAGAACCGTATTGTCAAAGGTTGCAGGAAAGTCAAGGAAGATAAGATTGCAAAACAGTTTTTTGGATTTGACAAGTAGTTGGTGATCTTTGACCCTGGTAAGAATATATTCAGTGGAACAGTGAGAGTGGAACTCAATTATCTGGATTGCTGAGAGGTGTGAAAAAAGACAGTTGCTATGAATACTTCCATCTAGGAAAAGGACAGCACATTGTAGAGATGGTGCCTCACCTTCTAACTTGCTGATCTACTCATAGGAGAGCCAGAATTTGGATCATTGTCCTTGATGATACTTTTGAGTGTGTAGCATGACATGAAGTAGGTGTGGACACTAAGAATTTGTGGGCTGCCTTAATTGTTTTTTCTTTTAAACTATTCTTTTTAGTTTCTCCTGAAACATAATGGGGTTTCCCTTGTTTTTTATACTACTTGTTTAAAGGCTTGTTTTTATACTTGTTTATTATTGACTCTTCATTCCTTGGGAAAAATAGAGATTTTTTTTAAATAAAACTCAGACTTGGGAAATTTTGAGAGTCATCATATTTTCATAGAGTTTTAGGAAACTATTATTTGTTATTAACCAAATGAACTGTTTTCTCTAACAGTGAAGAATGTGGAGACCGGTCGGAGTGTCCCAGGAGTGAAGATGTTTTTTGGGCATGAGATTGTGAATGGTGAGACCCCCATGTTCCTTGAATGCTAGTACTGAGATTTCCAGCAGTAGTAAACTTACTTCTGTGCCTTATTCCAATATTTGAAATGAAATAGGATATTGTCTTGCCTTTAATGTTTCACTTACGAATTCTTAAAGTTGGTATTTGAGAATTGACCCTTTTCTTACTGTTTCTGTGGGCACACTGTGAGTAGAATAGTCTTACTGAATTATAATCATTTTGGTTTTACAATGTCAGGTCTGTTGGTGCTTATCTACTAGCGACTTGGGCCAGCAGGCAGTTAGGAATGTGAACAGGAAGGGATTGTCTTGCTAAGCAAGCTATTTAAAATGCTACTGTTTTACAGTCCATTCACAATTCCTCATCCAAAACCTTGGAGCCAGATGTCTCAGAATCAAGAATTGTTCTGGACTTTTGGAAAATGTAACAGCGTATATAATGTTCATATTACATAACACTTCCAGAAAGTCTGGGCAGTACTCTAAATACTCTATAATACAACACATTTCTCCGGAGAAATGGGTGGACAATCATACTAAGTGGAATAAAATCAGACTATAAATAGCATATCAGGTCCAGTCCTGCCACCAAAAGTTACAACAAAATTTTGGTTTTCAGAGCTTTTTGGACTTTGGAATGGCAGGAAGCAGCCTTATTCTTTATTTCTGCTAGCACAAAACATTTAGCAAGAGTAGGTACAATTGTCTGAAAGAGGAGGTATAAATGTCTTGCTTTCAAGGACTCAGGAGCTTTCTGCTTCTGCCCTTTAAGGAGCTGGGTAGAGGGAGCAGAGGAATGAGAGTTCTGGGACCTCTTAGGGCTGTGCACTTCTCACTTTGGGGCAGATTTGAGGAAAGGAAAGGACTCCTATAAATGAGACTTTACTACTGCTTGAAAGATTGCTTTGCTTTGTGAGAAAACTAGAATTTAGGAGGAAACGAAAATCTCATCAAATTAATGACTGCCAATCCTGAGCCACTTCAGGTAATGGAAGTCTGGTCAGCTACCTAACCATTCTTTCTCATTGAGTATGCTGTCATGAACACTCTGTCCCTTGAATACTCTTTTATAATGATAGAGATAGTGGTGGCAGTTGGAGATCTTAATTGTATTTTCACTATCAGCCTTTGCAGTGAAACAGAGCTCTGGACTGGAGCAAAGGTAGGCTGTGAATGGGTTTGCAGAGAGAAGTGAAGGAATCACTACTGTCATCTCCCCAACTGAGAAGGCTGATGGCTGACCAGCTTTTTGATTTGTACACACGGAATTCATCACCTCCTAAATTCTTATCCAGGATTTGGCCTTCGTTCATCCTTTTTTTTTTTTTTTTTAAGGACTTTTTATTTTTTTATTTTATTTTATTTTTTAAAATAAAGATGGGCTTTCACCATGATAACCAGGCTGGTTCTGAACTCCCGACCTCAGGTGATCCACCCACCTCAGCCTCCCAAAGTGCTAGGATTACAGGCGTGAGCCACTACGCCCGGCCACAAATAAGACATTTTATTTGCCGCACATTTTATTTGCCACTATTATAAGTCTGAATTTTAAACAGATTCTTGGACTGGTGGTTCATATCCATCAATTCGTTCAACTTTAGCACCTGTCTCATCCCCAGTGGCTTTTCCAGAGCTACTGCCTTCACCATGAAGCTCCATGAGTTTTCCCAATTCAAACTTGGGCTTCTTCAGCATTTTTACTTTTCTAACGAAGACATCATGGAGAGGATAAATAGATTGGCAAGCCTTTTCTATGTCTTTCCCAATGCTGTCTGGAATCAATTTATTGACCACTTCTTTCAAGTCATTTGTCTGCACCTCTCGGGTCATGATTTCCATCATCTTCTTCCGGATTTGGCGGACCTGTTGGTGCTGAGCATAAGAGGTCTTCCGTATCTGATTGTTGCATTTTTTAGTAAAACCAACACAGAACAGACGAAGCAAGTAACCATCGGTAGTTTTGACATCAACATGAGCTTCAATCATTGTCTGCCATTTTTTGACCATGGAACACATTTTGTCACGGGTAAGATCCATGCCATGGAAGTTAGTCAGGCAGTTTTTGCCCTGAACATCTTCAGTAATCAGCTTGAATTTTCTAAATGCAACTTCATCATTCTGCAAATCAGCAAGACTAACTTCAAACACTCAACCCTTGAGGCCATCAGATGCAATTTTGGTTCCTTGGGTCCTGGTAACTAGCGTCTTTCCAATATTTCTTATATTGAACATAGCGGGTGCTTTCACATCATACCAATCTTTCTTAGAAAATGGATCAACCACTTTCTTCTTGGCTCCCTTTTTGCCGCCTTTCGTAAGGCGCTTGTTCTTGCCAACCGCCATGGTGCTGCTCAGAGAGCCAAAAGGGCCATCCTTTTTTTTTTTTTTTTTTTTTAATGGAGTCTTCTTCTGTCATTCAGGCTGGAGTGCAGTGGCATGATCTTGGCTCACTGCAACCCTTGCCTCCAGGATTCAAGCGGTTCTCATGCCTCAGCCTTCTGAGTAGCTGGGATTACAGGCACCCATCACCATGCCTGGCTAACTTGTGTGTGTAAAAAATTTTGAGACAGATTCTCACTCTTTGGCCCAGGCTAGAATATAGTGGCACAGTTTTGGCTCACTGCAATCTCCGTCTCCTGGGTTCAAGCAATTCTGCTGCCTCAGCCTCCCTAGGAGCTGGGATTACAGGCGTGTGCCACCACACCACAGCCAGCTAATTTTTTTGTATTTTTAATAGAAACAGGGTTTCACCATGTTGCCCAGATTGGTCTCAAACTCCTGACCTCAAATGATTTGCCCCCTCGGCCTCCAAAGTGCTGGGATTACAGGTGTGAACCACTGCACCCAACCCAATTTTTGTACTTTTTTAGTAGAGAGAGGGTTTCTCCATGTTGGCCAGGCTGGTCTCGAGCTTCTGACCTCAGGTGATCTGCCTGCCTCAGCCTCCCAGAGTGCTGGAATTATAGGCTTTGTTCATCATTTTTAAGCTTATATGATAGTCATTTCTTTCTTTGTTCTGTGGCCCAGTCAACCATGGACGAGTCTCCCCAAAAAGCACCTTCAATAAGAATTGTCACCAGGCATGGTGGCTCATGCCTGTAATCCCAACACTTTGGGAGGACAAGGCAGGCGGATCACAAGGTCAGTAGATTGAGACCATCTGGCCAACATGGTGAAACCTCGTCTCTACTAAAAATATAAAAATTAGTCTGGGCGCAGTGGCTCATGCCTGTAATCCCAGCACTTTGGGAGGCCAAGGCGAGTGGATCACGAGGTCAAGAGATCTAGACCATCCTGGTCAACATGGTGAAACCCCGTCTCTACTAAAAATACGAAAAATTAGCTGGGCATGGTGGCGCATGCCTGTAATCCCAGCTACTCAGGAGGCTGAGGCAGGAGAATTGCCTGAACCCAGGAGGCAGAAGTTGCGGTGAGCCGAGATCGCGCCATTGCACTCCAGCCTGGGTAACAAGAGCGAAACTTCTTATCAAAAAAAAAATATATATATATATATAAATTAGGGGGGCATAGTGGTGCATGCCTATAATCCTAGCTACTCAGGAGTCTGAGGCAAGAGAATCGCTTGAACCAGGGAGTTGGAGGTTGCAGTGAGCCAAGATTGTGCTATTGCACTCCAGCCTGCCAACATAGCAAGATTCCATCTCAAAAAAAAAAAATTGTCAAGATTAAGGATAATCATGGCTAATCGGCATGTTTTTAGTCAATTTTACTTTTTCTCTGCCCCAGATTTAGTACTTCTAGATAGTTCAGAGAAAAGAGACATTTGAAACATAGAGGCTTTTTGCTTGAAAAGTACCTAAATGAGGCTGGGCACGGTGGCTTACGCCTGTAATCCTAGCACTTTAGGAGGCTGACATGGGCAGACCATGAGGTCAAGAGATGGAGACCATCCTGGCCAACATGGTGAAGCCCTGTCTCTACTAAAAATTAAAAAATTAGCTGGGTGTGGTGGCACGCACCTGTAGTCCCAGTTATTCGGGAGACTGAGGCAGGAGAATCGCTTGAACCTGGGAGGCGGAGGTTGCAGTGAGCTGAGATTGCGCCACTGCACTCCAGCCTGGAGATAGAGCCCAAGACTCTGTCTCAAAAAAAAAAAGTACCTAAATGTACTTCATTGAATCTAAGATGCCATTAATTATAAGGTACGCTATTCCTTTTTGCATTGTAAGAAAGAAAAAGAAGCTGTCGATTAAACTTTCTTGTAATCACATCAAATTTCAGATGTTTATTCTATTTGTTTTTTCTTAATACGTGTTACATGGGTCTGGGAACCAACAGACTGTTTTCAGGTGTTTAAAATGTGTATCTTAGAATCAACAGAATACATTAGCCAGGCATGGTGGCGCATACCTGTAATCCCAGCTATTTAGGAGGCTGAGGCACAAGAATCGCTTGACCCAGGGAGGCAGAGGTTGCTGTGAGCTGAGATCAGGCCACTGCACTCCAGGCTGGGTGACAGAGTGAGACTCCGTCTCGAAAAAAAATTATAATAATAATCAGTGGAATATAGTATTTCCCTACATTTCCTGCCTAATTAGGTTAAAAACAAAATGATTTCACAATCTCCATGGAATATTCTCTCATAATTCTTTTGGTATTTCCATTTAAGCCTTCATTACCTTTCATGTCACTGAACTATTAATGTGCTAGCCTGTGAGAGTGCTAGGGACAGATTTGTGAATAATTTAAGAGAAAACCCTCAAACAGTGTACCCTGTGAGAGAAGGTGCATTAAGATTAGGATGAGTGGGAAAGAAATGTCTAGAACTAATTTGAATGACCACAAAGCTACCCTAGAAGAAAAAGGATGAAGGAGATACATAGAAAGGTTCCTAATCCTTCTAAATAACCCAGAAGCTTTGTAGGGATATAATATTGAGAGTCTTTGACATTTTAGATAGTCTCTTCTGTTGTATTTATTGCTGGTCAGTAAAAGCCTCTGTAGACTAACTTTACATTTCCAATTATTGTTTGCAGTACATGGTTAAACTGGGGATGTGTGGGTAGCAGAGTAGTTAATTGATTCAGATTGGAGACTCTGTTGGAAGCCATTTGGTTATTTTACAGTGGAACTACTAGATGAAGTGGAACAAGGCTCAGTGAGAGAAAACTCATCGTCTGTTAGGTAAGATGGAATCATTTTCTTACTGTGTTTCCCAAATGTGCACATTAGGGTAGAAAGCCTTAACTCTAATTCACTAGGTGCTTAATTCCTTGGCATGAGGAAATATAAATTAGAAGAAATATATAGGCTGGGTGCGATGGCTCACACCCGTAATCCCAGCTCTTTGGGAGGCCGAGGTGGGCAGATCAAGAGGTCAGGAGTTTGAGACCAGTCTGGCCAACATAGTGAAACCTCATCTTGACTAAAAATACAAAAAATTAGCTGGATGTGGTAGTGTGCTGAGGCAGGAGAATCGAGTGAATCCAGGAGGTGGATGTTGCAGTGAGCCAGGATCACACCATTGCACTCCAACCTGGGCAACAGTGTGTGACTCTGTCTCAAAAAAAAAAAAAATACGTGTGTGTGTGTGTGTGTGTTCATCCATGTTAGATAGCACCCTCAAATCAATGTAAGCAGTGGATGAATAAGCAGTGGATGAATGGGTCCTCTTGTTAATGAAGGACCACAGCTCTTAACGTTAAAGTGTGGCAGAATCTGTGTGTGGCATCAGCAACAAAGAACAAGTCCATCTGGATGTTGTTTCTTGTAAGGGTAGTCTAGATGTGGAAAGAACTGGGATGGAGAAAATGAAAGTTGAAGTCCTAAATGTATGTGAGTCTGTTTCTCCTGCCCCTGAAGCACCAACTACCTCTCTGCTGAATGACCTCAAGTACAGCCCATCAGGTGAGTACAGTGGCTCTGAATTTTCTAGGCTTTCCTTTTTTTTTGAACTAAGTCAGTCAAATTCAGCTAGACTGTCTTCACTGTTTAGGGTTGGTGTAACCCTGAATCAAGATGCTCTATAGAATGCTTAGCTGAGCCATTGCTTCTGGGTTCTGAATTAAGATGAAATACTGTGATTCATTTTTTAATTTGGTATTTGAAGGCCGGGCGCGGTGGCTCAAGCCTGTAATTCCAGCACTTTGGGAGGCCGAGGCAGGTGGATCATGAGGTCAAGAGATCGAGACCATCCTGGTCAACATGGTGAAACACTGTCTCTACTAAAAATACAAAAAATTAGCTGGGCATGGTGGCGCATACCTGTAATCCCAGTTACTCAGGAGGCTGAGGCAAGAGAATTGCCTGAGCACAGGAGGCGGAGGTTGCGGTGAGCTGAGATTGCGCCATTGCACTCCAGCCTGGGTAACAAGAGCGAAACTCTGTCTCAAAAAAAAAAAATAATAATAATTGAGTTCATAATGTGTGTGCACTCATTTACTGGGGCATTACTCATTCATTGGGGATTCTGAAGTATGGTATCCCTCCCCTTATTGAGCAGCATACAGATGCTAAATAAGATAAATAAATAAAATATATAGTGTAATAGTGCCAAATGCTAAAGAGGAAAAAAATAAAAGAGAAGTAATATGTAGGGAGGGTGGTTTTCAATTTTAGGGTATCCAGGACAAGTCTTGCTGAAATGACAATATTTGTGTAAAGATCTGAAGGAGGTGAGGGATATCAAGCTCTAGGGATATCTTGGGGAAATGTGCTTTAGGCTGGGGAAAAAAAAAAAGAAAGCAAATACAAAGTCACTGAGATAGGAACATACCAGGATCTTGAAGGAACAGCAAGGAGATCAGAGCAGTTGGAGCAGGGAGAGAAGCAGTACATGAGATGGAACAGGTGAGTCAAAGAGGAGTTCTTAGAGCCTTGCGGGGACTTAAATTCTTTTTTTTGGAGACAGAGTCTCACTCTGTCGCCCAGGCTGGAGTGCTGTGGCTTGATCTTGACTCATTGCAACCTCTACCTCCCAGGTTCAAGTGATTCTCCTGCCTCAGCCTCCTGAGTAGCTGGGATTACAGGCGTATGTGCCGCTATGCCCAGCTAATTTTTTTTTTTTTTTTTTGAGACAGAGTCTTACTCTGTCACCAGGCTGGAGTGCAGTGGCGCAATCTTGGCTCACTGCAACCTCCGCCTGGGTTCAAGCGATTCTTCCGCCTCAGCCTCCCGAGTAGCTGGGACCACAGGCGCGTGCCACCATGCCTGGCTAATTTTTGTATTTTTAGTAGAGACGGAGTTTCACCATGGCCAGGATGGTCTCGATCTCTTGACCTCGTGATCCGCCCGCTTCGGCCTCCCAAAGTGCTGGGATTACAGGCGTAAGCCACCATGCCTGGCTGCCCAGCTAATTTTTAATTATTATTATTATTTTTTTTTGATACAGAGTCTTGTCCTATCCTCCAGGCTGGAGTGCAGTGGGTGGATCTTGGCTCACTGCAAGCTCTGCCTCCCAGGTTCAAGTGATTCTCTTGCCTCAGCTTCCTGAGTAGCTGGGATTATAGGTATGTGCCACCATACCCAGCTAATTTTTTTTTTTTTTGAAACAGAGTCTTGCTGTGTCACCCAGGCTGAAATTCAGTGACAGGATCTCAGCTCATTGTAACCTCCACCTCCCAGGTTCAAGCAATTCTCCTGCCTTAGCCTCCCAAGTAGCTGGAACTACAGGTGTCTCTACTAAAAATACAAAAAAAAATTTTTTTTTTAATTTTTTGTATTTTTAGTAGAGACACCTTTTTTGTATTTTTAGTAGAGATGGGGTTTCACCATGTTAGCCAGACTGGTCTCAAACTCCTGATCTAGTGATCCATCTGTCTTGGCCTCACAAAGTGCTGGGCTTATAGGCATAAGCCACTATGCCCAACTGGGAGTTAAACTTTGACTCTGAAGTGAGATGAGGAACCCTTGGAGGTTTTTTGTTTGTTTCTTTCTTTTCCTTTTTTTTTTTTTTTTGAGACGGAGTTTCGCTCTCGTTACCCAGGCTGGAGTGCAATGGCGCGACCTCAGCTCACCGCAACCTCCGCCTCCTGGGTTCAGGCAATTCTCCTGCCTCAGCCTCCTGAGTAGCTGGGATTACAGGCACGCACCACCATGCCCAGCTAATTTTTCATATTTTTAGTACAGATGGGGTTTCACCATGTTGACCAGGATGGTCTCAATCTCTTGACCTCGTGATCCAAAGGCCTGAGCCACCGTGCCTGGCCTTATTTGTTTGTTTTTATTAAAAACAAAGCAGGCTGGGGTCTCATGCCTGTAATCCTGGCACTTTGGGAGGCCAAGGCTGCTGGATCATGAGGTCAAGTGATTGAGATCATCCTGACCAACATGGTGAAACCCCATCTCTACTAAAAATATAAAAATTAGCTGGGTGTGGTGGTGTATGCCTATAATCTTAGCTGCTTGGGAGGCTGAGGCAGGAGAATCGCTTGAACCTAGGAGGTAGAGGTTGCAGTGAGCCGAGATTGTGCTACTGCACTCTAGCCTGGTGACAGAGCAAGACTCTATCTCAAGAAAAAAAACAACAAGGCCGGGCACAAGTACTTACACCTGTAATTCTAGCACTTAGGGAGGCCAAGGTGGGAGGACTGTTTGAGGCCAGGAGTTCAAGACCAGCCTGGGCAACATATGGGATCCCATCTCTATAAAAAATAATAATAAAATAAGGCTGGGCATGGTAATCCCAGCACTTCAAGGGGGCTAAGGTGGGTGCATTGTACAGATTGCTTGAGCCTCGGAGTTCACGTCCTGCCTGGGCGACATGGTGAAACATCATCTCAATTTAAATAAAACATTAAAAAATTCTGGCCAGGTGCGGTGGCTCATACCTGTAATCCCAGCACTTTGGGAGGCTGAGTCAGGCACATCACCTGAGGTCAGAAGTTCGACACCAGCCTGGATAACATAGTGAAACCCTGTCTCTACTAAAAATACAAAAATTAGCTGGGTGTGGTGGCAGGCCCCTGTAATCCCAGCTACTCAGGAGGCTAAGATGGGAGAATTGCTTGAACCCAGGAGGCAGAGGTTGTAGTGAGCAGAGATTGCACCATTGCATGCCAGCATGGGTGACAAGAGGGAAACTCCATCTCATAGTGTATTCTTTGAAGTATTCAAGATATAAACCTATAAGGTGAGAAACATTACTGGATTATCACAGGACATGTAAACAGTTCAATTGGTGGGGCTTTTGTTTACTCTCATTTGACAAAGATGATGTTAATTAGTGTTCACTGTGTAATGGGCTATTGCAGGTGATAATGAAATAACATTAGACATTTGAGTTGCAATAGAGTAGGAATATATGAGTATGGCCAAAATTAGTGGGAGAGCTATTCTGTTGCTGAGGAATAGAAATATATCTAATGCCACCTTTGTCCTATAGAAGAAGAGGAGGTGACATACACAGTCATTGATCAGTTCCAGCAGAAGTTTGGTGCTGCAGTAAGTATTGTCCTCAATCATAACTATTATTACCTGTATGTAGGTATCATGTCTGTGTCTCATACATTTCTTTATCATAAGATTTTTTGCTCTCCATGGATGCCTTAAAAAAAAAAGATTTTTTATTTTTTTTCTATTCAAGAAAATATAGGGCCAGGCATGGTGGCTCAAGCCTGTAATCCCAGCACTTTGGGAGGCTGAGGCGAGTAGATCACGAGGTCAAGATATCGAGACCATCCTGGTCTACATGGTGAAACCCCGTCTCTACTAAAAATACGAAAAATTAGCTGGGCATGGTGGCGCATGCCTGTAATCCCAGCTACTCAGGAGGCTGAGGCAGGAGAATTGCCTGAACCCAGGAGGCGCAGGTTGCGGTGAGCCGAGATTGCGCCATTGCACTCCAGTCTAGGTAACAAGAGCAAAACTCCGTCTCAAAAAAAAAAAAAAGAAAAGAAAATATTTGGTGGCTGCTATATGCCAGGCACTATTCTGAGATCTAGGGTAAACAATAATCAAGAAAAGACAAAGTTCCAGCCCTCAAGGAGCTTATATTTTAATGTAAGACAATAAACAATTTATTATATTTTAGGTGGCAGTGAGTTTTGAGAATAAAAATAAAGCATGGTGAGGGTTGGGAAGGGAGGAGAGAAGAAAGCATGGTATGGGGTCTAGAGTGACAAGGAGGTCCTAATTTATGTGGGTTAGGCAGAGAAAACATATCTGAGGAAGTGACATTAGAACAAAGACTTGAGTAAGTAAGGGAGCCAGGTAGATATCAAAGTGAAGAACTTAAAAGTGGAATTAGCAAGTGCAAAGGCCCTGAGGCTGAAATACTCCTGACTTGTGTGGAAGAACAGCAGGGAGGTCAGTGTGACAGGACCACAGTGAAGAAGAATGGTAGGAGATGGAAGGGAGCAGGTGGCAGTTCATTTAAGGCTTTCTAGACGTTGTAAAGACTTTGAGTTTGACTTGAGTGAAATGGAAAGCCATTGGCAGTTTCAGAGAAGAGTCAGAATTTTTTTTTTTTTTTTGAGACAGAGTTTTGATCTTGTTGCCTAAGCTGGAGTGCAATGGTACAATCTCAGCTCACTACAACCTCTGCCTCATGGGTTTAGGTGATTCTCTTGCCTCAGCCTCCCAAGTAGGTGGGATTACAGGCATGTGCCACCATGCCTAGCTAATTTTGTGTTTTTAGTAGAGACGCGTTTTTACCATGTTAGTCAAGCTGGTCTCAAGCTCCTGACCTCAGAGGATCTGCCTGCCTCAGCCTCCCAAAGTGCTGGGATTTCAGGTGTGAGCCACCGTGTCCAGTCTGACTTACATTTTAAAAGTGTCACATAGGATACTGTACTTAGGCAATTACTCTATTAATTATGTATTCATTTGAGAAATGGCAGCAAGTATCCTGTAGTGTGGTTCGCAGATGGGCTTCAGGAAGGTCATTGAACTTTCTGTATAGATGCAAACTTATGTGTGTGTGTACATGGATGCATTTTTTTTCATCATTTGACTTGACGTTTTTTTTTTTTTTAATGGAGTCCCACCGTGTGGCCCAGGCAGGAGTTTGATAGGCCAGTCTTGGCTCACCACAACCTCCACCTCCTGGATTCAAGTGATTCTCTTGCCTCAGCCTCCCAAGTAGCTGGGATTACAGGTGCGCACCACCACCCAGCTAATTTTTGAATTTTTAGTAGTCGAAATGGGGTTTTACCATGTAGCCAGGCTGGTCTCAAACTCCTCATCTCAGGTGATCCGCCTGTCTCGGACTCCCAAAGTGCTGGGATTACAGGCATGAACCACTGTGCTTGGCCCATGGATGGATTTTTAAAAGGAGAGTTAGCTATCAACAGGTTATTTTGTGACTAAGTTTGAACTGAACAGAAGATTTTTTTTTAATTATTAGAAATTTTAAAATAAATTTTTAAAAAATTATTTAAAAACAAAAAGTTTTATAAAAAATTATTGCGATATCCATATGGCTTAAAATTTATTTAGTTAAACAGACAGTTCATTTGTTTTTAGTATATTCACAGAGTTGTATGTAAAATAGTATAATAAATTTTAGAATGTTTTCAATATGCCAGAAAGAAACCCCACACCCCTTATTCATCACTTCTAATCACTCCTCAGCCCCTGACAACCACTAAAACAGCCTGGCCATTATGGTGAAACCCCGTCTCTACTAAAAATACAAACATTAGCCAGATGTGATGGTGGGTACTTGTAGTCGCAGCTACTGGGAAGGCTGAGCCAGGAGGAGGTGGAGGTTATAGTGAGCCGAGATCATACCACCATACTCCAGCCCAGAAGACAGAGCAAAGCTGTGTCTCAAAATAAATAAAATAAAATAAGTAAAATAGTAGTTTTTCTTACAGGCTTTATATACTTAGCATAATGTTTTCAAGGTTCATCCATATTGTAGCTTATGTCAGTATTTCACTTCTTTTTTCACCATCTTGGCCAGGCTGGTCTTGAACTCCTGATCTTGTGATTCATCCACCTCATCCTCCCAAAGTGCTGGGATTACAGGTGTGAGTCACTGCGCCTGGCCTTCACTTCTTTTTATTGCCAAATAATATTTTTTATACATTAAAAAAAATTTTTTTTTGAGACAGGGTCTTTCTCTGTCACCCAGGCTGGAATGCAGTGACAGAATCACAGTTCACTATAGCCTGGACCTCCTAGGCTCAAGCAGTCCTCCCACCTTAGCCTCCCAGGTGGTTGGGATTACAGGCATGTGCCACAACATCTAGCTAATTTTTAAATATTTTTTGTAGAGACAATGTCTAGTTATGTTGCTGAGACTGGTCTCAAACTACTGGGCTCGAGCAATCCACTTGCCTCAGCTTCCCAAAGTGCTGGGATTATAGGCGTGAGTCACCACAACCAGCCACCAAATAATATTCCATTGTATGGATATACTACATTTTATTTATCCATTCATCATTTGATGGACATTTGGGTTGTTTCTACTTTTTGGCTATTGTGAATAATGCTACTATAAACATTCATGGAAAAGTTTTTGTCTGGACGTTTTTATTTCTTTTGGATAGTTACCTAGGAGTGAAATTGCTAGATCACTTGGTAACTCTGTGTTTAACTTTTTTGAAGAATGACCAGACTTTGTTTCCAAAGCTGCTGCACCATTTTACATATCTATCAGAAGTCTTTGACGGTTCCAATTTCTTCACATCCTTGTCAACACTTATCTGTAACTTTGATTATAGCCATCCTAGTGGGTATGAGGTGGTATCTTATTGTGGTTTTGATTTGCATTTCTCTGATGGCTAATGATGTTGAACATTTCTATGAGCTTACTAGTCATTTGTATAACTTCTTTGGAGAAATATCTATTTAGATCCTTTGCCTTTTGAGACAGTCTCACTTTGTAGCCCAGGCTGGAGTGCAGTGGCACGATCTTGGCTCACTGCAACCACTGCCTCCTAGGATCTCAAGCGATCCTCCCACCCCAGCCTTCTGAGTAACTGGGACTACAGGGATGTACCACTATGCCCAACTCTTTTTTTTTTCAAGAGATGAGGTCTTGCTATGTTCCCCAAGCTGGTCTTAAACTCCTGGACTCAAGCAATCTGTCCTCCTCGGCCTCCTGAAGTACTGGGATTACAGGCGTGAGCCACCACGCCCAGCTTTAATTTTTGTATTTTGTGTAGAGACAGTCTCTCAATATGTTGCCCAGGCTGGTCTCTAACTCCTAGGCTCAAGCAATCTGTCCTCCTCAGCCTTCCTCAGTGCTGGGATTACAGGCATGAGCCACTGTGCCGAAACCTTTTCCTATTTTTTAATTGAGTTGTAACAATTATTTTTATCATTGAGCTGTAAGAATTATATATATATAAGCAGATTATTTAAAGGGACTATGACAACAATAAGAAAAAAATGAGGATAAGAACTTGTGGCCAGACATGGTGGCTCACTCCTGTAATACCAATGCTTTTGGAGGCCAAGGCAGGCAGATCACTTGAGCCCAGGAGTTAGAGACCCGCCTGGGCAACAAGGCAAAACCCTACCTCTACAAAAAAATACAAAAAATTGTCTGGGCATGGTGGCACATGTCTGTAGTTCCAACTACCCGGAGGGTGAAGTGAGAGGATCAGCTGAGTCTGGGAGGTGGAGGCTGCAGGAAGCTAAAATAGGAGGATAGCTTGAGCCCAGGAGTTCCATGCTGCATTGAGCTGTGATCTGCACTCCAGCCTGAGGGACAGCATGAGACTGTCTCAAAAACAAAACAAAACAAAACAAAAAGCTTTTGGTCTGGAAGTTTGAAGAGGTAATTAGGAGCTCCCATCAATAGAAAATTAAGCTTTTGTTGCCCTTTCTGCAGCCATCTTTTTTTGATTGGGGATGAAGCTGAAATTCAGTCCCATTTTCTCATCATTGATGAGAGATACTTAGAATGTAGAACACTTTATGCTCTCTAAAGGGAGATATTGTGCTAGTGTAAATTACTGTGCCTTCTGTTCTTGAATAATTTACCTACTTATAAAATGGAGAGAATCTTGTGTCATGCAAATATTTTTATGAATTATGGATTCAGGATTTTAGAATTCTATAATGAAATAGGCTAAGATTATAGATAATCAAAGGACAAGAGTGTGTACCTGGGGTACTGCTATTTCAGTTTTTATTTGTTTGTTTGTTTGTTTTTGACAGAGTTTCACTCTGTCACCCAGGCTGAAGTGCATCATCATGGCTCAATGCAGCCTCAGCCTCCCAGGCTCAAGTGACCTTCCCACTTTAACCTCCAGAGTAGCTGGGGCTACACTTCAGGTGTGCACCACCATGCCTGAATAATTTTTTGTATTTTTTATAGAGATATTGTGTTGCTCAGGCTGGCCTCAAACCCTTGGGCTCAAGCGATCCTCCTGCCTCAGCCTCCCAAAGTGCTGGAATTACAGGGGTGAGCCACTGCACCTGGCCACTATTTTAGTTTTGAGTAATTCAGTGAATCTGAGGCTTTAAGGCATCTGAAGAGTCCTTGTTTCTGTCTTTCTGAGCAGTGGATACTCTGAGACTTAGCCACCACATATATTCCTTTCAGAATTGCCCTGTGTTACAGCATGCCATAGTTTGCATGAGGAATCTTGTCTTAAAGATTATAATTCAGGGCTGGGCGCAATGGCTCATGCCTGTAATTCCAGCTCTCTGGGAGTTCGAGACGAGTGGATCACTTGTGATCAGGAGTTCAAGACCAGCCTGATCAATATAGTGAAACCCCTTCTCTATTAAAAATACAAAACTGGGGCCAGGCGCGGTGGCTCACACCTATAATCCCAGCACTTTGGGAGGCCGAGGCGGGTGGATCACAAGGTCAAGAGATCAAGACCATCCTGGTCAACAAGGTTAAACCCCGTCTCTACTAAAAATACAAAAATTAGCTGGGCATGGTGGTGCACGCCTGTAGTCCCAGCTACTAGGGAGGCTGAGGCAGAATTGCTTGAACCCAGGAGGCGGAGGTTGCAGTGAGCCAAGATCGTGCCATTGTATTCTAGCCTGGGTAACAACAGCTAAACTCCGTTTCAAAAAATAAATAAATAGAAATAAAAATAAAAATACAAAATTAGCTGGGCATGGTGGTACACACCTGTAATCCCATCTACTTAGGAGGTTGAGTCAGGACAATCACTTGAACCCCAGAGTTGGAGGTTGTACTGAGCCAAGATCATACCATTGCACTCCAGCCTGGGCAACAAGAGTGAAACTCCACCTCAATTTAGAAAAAAAACAGATTATGATTCTTTCTCTGTCAAATCAGTAGTAACAAAAGGTGTCTGAGTTTTCAACTTTTATTGTCATTTGGTGTATGAGTGATTTATTTTCCAGCTGTGGAGCACTTTTCCTAAAACTAAAAAGAGAATCAGAAGTGTTGAGTGCTGATATATGTGTGTATGTGAAACAGACTGTGTTTTGTATTAATCAAATTTTGTAAGTTTAACAAAGATTATGCACTTTGTTTACTGTAGCCATTGTAATTGTGCCAATCATGATGTTATCATGCCAACATTTATTCCCTGAAATGTTTTTCTTTCCTTCTTTTTCTTACCAGATGCTCCACATCAAGAAGCAGAGTGTCCTGAGCGTGGCAGCAGAAGGAGTGAATGTGTGTCGCCATGGGAAACTGTGCTGGCTGCAGGTAAAAGACTTCTGAAAACTTCTTATTTTGAAGTAATTATAGAGCCACTGGTAGATTTGGATTTTTCTTTCTTTTTGAAAATTATATTTTAGAGATAGGGTCTTACTCTGTCACCCAGGTCTCAGTGCACATCAGAGTTCACTGCAGCATTGAACTTCTGGGCTCATGCTGTCTATCCTCTCACTTCAGCCTCCTGAGTAGCTGGGACTACAGATAAGTGTCACCACACCGAGCTTTATTTTTCTGAGATGGGCTCTTGCTGTGTTACCCAGGCTGATCTCAAAGTCCTGGCCTCATGTAATCCTCTTGCCTTAGTCCCCCTAGTCACTGGGATTACAGGGATAGGTCACTGCACCTGGCTCACTGTTAGATTTATGAATTGTCTTGTTTTTGCCACCCTAGTGTCATTGTTACATAACTTGTTGGAATGTTCTTCCTTCTCCTGGTACTCAACTTATTCTTTTCAAAAGGAAAGAGCTTCTATCTCCTTATAGATTCACTTTTTTTTTTTTAAGCTCAGTGGCAAGAATAGGTTCACTGTTACAGCCATCAGGGCTGTCTCACAGGCTCTGCTGGAGGTCTTTTCCAGCTCTGTCCTATCACCTTAGTTCTGTGAAGAGTGTCTTCTCTTTTCTAGGGTGGTAGTTTTCCACAGTAGGTTTCTCGCCACTTCATTTTAGTTTCCCCGGACCTGGGAGATGTCAGATGAGAGTCTCCATTATCATTATCATTAACATTATTATTATTATTATTTTGAAACGGAGTCTTGCTCTGTCAGCCAGTCTAGGGTGTAATGGTATGATCTCCACTCACTGCAACCTCTGCTTCTTGGGTTCAAGCAATTCTCCTGCCTCAGCCTGCTGGGTAGCTGGGATTACAGGCATGAGCCACCACACCTGGCCTACAGCTGTCCTTTCTGTGACTACAAGCAAATTAATGGACACGTTTTCCCCAACCAGATCAAAGAGTTGAGTAACAGGATTGTTATATTTGTGCAGTACCTTACACTTTAAAAAACACATTTACAAACATTAGGGGAGTTAACTACTTTTAACACATTGAAATGTTGTTTCTGCTATTTTGCTGTTTCTTCCTTTTTTTTTTTTTTAATTTGAGACAGGATCTAGCCTTGTTGCCCAGGCTGGAGTGCAGTGGTATGATCTCTTGGCTCACCGTACTGAATCTCTGCCTCTCAGGTTCAAGGGATACTGCTGCTTCAGCCTCCCAAGTAGCTGGGATTATAGGCACTGGCCTCTATGCCTGGCTAATTTTTGTAATTTTAGTAGAGACAGGTTTTACCATGTTGGCCAGGCTGGCCTTAAACTCCTGACCTCAAATGGTATGCCCACCTTTGTTGAGAAATACTAAGTTTACTGTTGAGGAACATTAAGTTTACTGTTGAGAAACATTAGGTTTACTCTGCCCCAGTGGCTCCCTTGTGGAGAATACCTTTTAGTTTGCAATTAGTGGTAGACGGATAACAGCTGCCTACGTGGTATATTTTTGAGCTATTAGTAAATACAGAACACCTGTTTGTTAATAAAAATCACCTGTTTAAGAGAGCATAAAAACATGGATCAGAAGCTGCTATGGGCCTTCAGCCTGGAATGCTGTCAACCCCTGAGGCTCTCAGCTCGATGAGCTGCTGGCCCCAGGATAGACTCACTTTACTGTTCTGAGTGTCTGCCTCTCACTGCCGTCAGCGCCACCTGGTTGGGGGCCTCATGGCCTAGCTGGTACTCACTACGCCTTGGCCTACCGAAGTGCTGGGATTGCAGGCATCAGCCCCTGCACCTGGCCCGTATTTTCCTGTTTTTAATAACATGCTTATTGCTTTCTCTTGATTCTTCAGTTTTACAAATTATTCAATTTTATTATGATACATAAAGATTTTCCTCCTCTATTTTTTATTTATTTTTTAAATTTCTATTTTGTGTGATTTTGCTCCTTTATAGCACCCGCTTTTCCCTAGGTCTTTCCAACTTAGTTATGTCACAAATTTTTATCAAGACAGAATTCAGAATTTATGGGAGATGGAGGCAGGAGAATTGCTTCAATCTGAGAGGCAGAGGTTGCAGTGAGCCAAGATTGTGGCCCTGCACTCCAGCCTGGGCAACAGAGCGAGACTCCATAAAAAAAAAAAAAAAAGACAAGAGTTTAGTCTACATGTTATTATGGCTGTAATGATAACTCGGCTGAGTCAAGGAGGATTGTTTCTTTCTAGTAACTATCTCACTTTATTGGCCCCTCCCTCCCTCCTTCCCTCCTTCCTTCCTTTAGTATATGTGCTGCTGAGGCGAGCACCAAGGTTTTGTTTGTTTTTTTAATATGGAGGTGGGGTCTCCCTGTGTTGCCAAGCCTGACAAGGGTTCCACCCATCTTGGCCTCCCAAAGTGCTGGTATTATAGGCCTGCACCACCATGTCAGGCCCCCCCACCTTTTGTTTTTTTAATTTTTAAGACACTAAGAAAAGGCCTGGCCAGGCACAGTGGTTCATGCCTGTAATCCCAGCACTTTGGGAGGCTGAGGCAGGTGGATCACAAGGTCAGGAGTTCCAGACCAGCGTGGCCAATATGGAGAAACTCTGTCTCTACTAAAAATACAAAAAATAGCTGGGCATGGTGGCATGCGACTGTGGTCACAGCTACTCGGGAGGCTGAGGCAGAAGAATCACTTGAACCCAGGAGGCAGAGGTTGCATGAGCCAAGATCATGCCACTGCACTCCAACCTGGGCTACAGAGTGAGACTCCGTCTCAAAAAAAAAAAAATTCATAGGGCTTCCAGATAGCTGAGCAGGGGGTGGTACCTGGGGGGTGGTGGACTCCTCCCTCCATTCCTTGTCCTATGTATCTCTTCAATCTGACAGTTTATCTGTATCTTTTGTATCTTTCATAATATTCAGGTTGAGGGCTCAGTTCCACAAGAGGGCAGTCTTGTGGGACTGAGGCCTCAACCTGTGGGGTTTGGCACTATTTCCAGGTAAACAGCCTCAGAATTGAATTAGAGGACACTAAGCTGGTGTATGCTGGAGAGTAGCAGCAGAATTGCTTGCTTCAGGTGTGAGGAAACAACCCACACACATCTAGGGTGACAGAAAGTTCTTTTTTTTTTTTCTGAGATGGAATCTCACTCTGTCGCCCAGGCTGGAGTGCAGTGGCATGATCTCGGCTCACTGCAACCTTCACCTCCCAGGTTCAATTCTCCTGCCTCAGCCTCCCAAGTAGTTGGGGTTACAGGTGCCACCAAATCCAGCTAATTTTTGTATTTTTAGTTCACCATGTTGCCAGGCTGGTCTCGAGCTCGTAACCTCAGGTGATCTGCCCACCTCCCAAAGGGGTAGGATTACAGGCATAAGCCACTGCACCTGGCCAGAATGTTCTGTGTTAAGTAGAGAGTATAGGGGAAAAAAAGCACTTTTAGTTTTTTTCCCTATATCTCTTAAGTCTAATACTTCAGGAAAACACCAGTTTAAGGTGAATGAACAGTATCTCATTGTTATCAACGGAAAATGCTATTTCTCTGAGTTCCTTAATATGAATGATTGTGTTAGGTGTTACATAAAATTATTCATAAGAGGAGATCCCTGCCCTCTAGCAATTTAAAACAGGCAACAAATACACTGACACAAATGGTAAAATGTCAAATATTCAATGCTGCTTACAGACCAATTTTATGTAATTGTAAGAATTCTAAGTTTGTTTCTTTTCTTTTCTTTCCTTTTTTTTTTTTTTTTTTTTGAAACAGAGTCTCATTCTGTTGCCCAGGCTAGAGTGCAGTGGCAAGACCTTGGCTCACTGCAACCTCCGTCTCCTGGGTTCAAGCAATTCTCCTGCTTCAGCTTCCCAAGTAGCTAGGACTACATGAGCCCATCAGCATGCCTGGCTATTTTTTGTACTTTCATTAGAGACAGGGTTTCACCATACTGGCCAGGCTGGTCTCAAACTCCTGACCTCAGGTGATCTGCCCACCTTGGTCTCCCAAAGTGCTGAGATTACAGGCCTGAGTCACCATGCCCAGCCAACATTGTTTCTGATCACAAAAATCACAAAAGCAGCATAGCTGGATGATCTACTAAGACGGAAAAGACAAAAAAAAAAAAAACATTCAGATGCCAGACATGGTGGCTTGTGTCTATATCTCATGACTTTGGAGGCTGAGGTGGGAGGATCACTTGAGGCCAGGAGTTCAAGTCTAGCTGGGGCGCCAAACAAGATCCCTGTCTGTACCAAAAAAAACCAAAAAAAATGTAATTTAAAACACAACATCCAAATGAATCGAGAAAGCTAGGCATGTGACAGTCTGATACCATTTCTGTCATTTCAGGAGCTGAACTATATATATATATATATGTATATGTATACATACATACATACATACATACACATATGTATGTATATATAAACCCTAAAAACATTACTCTAGGCCAGGTGTGGTTGCTCACATCTGTAATCCCAACACTTTGGGAGGCCAAGGAAGGAAGATTGCTTCAGCTGAGGCGTTTGAGACCAGCCTGGGCAATGTAGCAAGACCTTGTCTGTATTAAAAATTAAAAAAAAAAATTGGCTGGGTGTGGTGGCTCATGCCTGTAATCTCAGCATTTGGAAGACCAAAGAGGTCAGGAGTTTGAGACCAGCCTGGCCAACATGGTGAAACCCTGTCTCTACTAAAAATACAAAAATTAGCTGGGCATGGTAGCAGCTGATTGATCCCAGCTACTAGAGAGACTGAGGCAGAAGAATTGCTGGAACCCAGGAAATGGAGGCTGCAGTGAGCAGAGATTGTGCCACTGCATTCCAGCCTGGGCAATAGAGTGAAACTCTGTCTCTAAATAAATAAATAGATAGATGAAGTGAAGATGTTAGATATTTTAACACGTCTTTTACTTTTCATCCTCAGATTTCCCTTCCTTAGTTCTTCCTTATCCTATGATGTGTGTGTCTGAATGGTCTATTGTAGGTGGCCACAAATTGCCGAGTTTATTTATTTGACATTTTCCTTCTGGGAAGTCGAGCTTTCAACAATGGACTTCAGATGATATTAGAAGACAAGAGAATTTTGAAGGTAAGTGTGTAAACCAATTCCTGCTCTATTAAGATAAGCAGCCTGGTTCTAATAACTGTTCCCTTCTGATTCCTTAGATTATCCATGACTGTCGTTGGCTTTCTGATTGCCTCTCTCATCAGTATGGAATTTTGCTGAATAATGTCTTTGACACACAGGTACATGAAGGGAAGCACTGGATTCAAACCAATATACATAGCTCCTGTTGATAAAAGAGCTCGTGCTCGCTTTGGCAGCACATATACTAAAATTGGAACGATAAAAAGGCTCATCTGGTCATCTGATAAGTGAAAGTCTTTTTAATTTTTTGGGGGGGGCCCCATTTCTGCTCACTTGTCATGTAAAATGTACAATATTTGAGAAGATTTAGTTTTCTCTAAAAGCACTGCAGAGAAGTTACTTAAAATTATTTAGAAAGATGTTTTCCTCATTTTGCTCCAGAATTTGTCAAATAAGAAGCAAGATCCATAGTCCATAGCATTGTGAATCTTGAGCAATTTAGGGATCATTGAGAAGCCTGACATGGGAGACGTAGTGTGAGAGGAGCCTTTACCACATATGTAACAATTATGGCAAACTGACATCTAACTCAGGAGTACAGGTTGTCCTGCATATACCCCCCAAATCTATTTGGGCCCAAAACAGCCTGAAGTGATATAATTCGTCTGTCATCTAAGGAACCTTAGAGAAATAAAAATTCCCTAGATTCTACTAGCCATTATTATTTCGTTATTATTATTACCATTTACAAGCAGAGTCTTACTATGCTGCCCAAACTAGTCTCAAACTCTTATGCTCAAGCCATCCTTCTGCCTCAGCCACCCAAGTACAGGATGAACCTCTACTGTCTCTTAGAACTGATCTAGGTTTCTGGTTTGGCTGTGAGAGCACTAAAACCACTAGTTTTCATTATGTTTTCTTTAGGTACTTCTAGTCTTTTAGGTTTATGACTGAAAGGGAAATCTTGACTGTACAAGCCTAGAGCCTTTGGAGAGAAATTGAACTAATGAGTTGGTTCTAACTATTTTTGAGCAGCAATCCCTATTCAATTTTATGTTACTATATTTGGTTCATTTTTTCTGTTTATATATCTATCCACAATGAATTTGCTGCCATTTCTAACTTACGTGTTCCTTTGTGCCTTCTTTCAGGATATTTCACTAAATAGAGATTGCTTTTATGCTTACTCCAAACTCTAAGATAATTGCTGCTTGTTTCCTTGAGGCCTTTAGGCTTCTTGATTAGATCTTATACATATTGTCTAATGAAGACCTTGGCATATCTGTTCATGTTTTTCTTTTCAGATTTACATAGTCCAAGAAGCAGAAATTTCACCAATTTGTTTTTCTATAACAGCATTTTAGTTTCTTACTGCTGCTGTAACAAATCACCACAAATTTAGTGGCCTAAAACAGTACAAATTTATGACTTTATTGTTTTAGTGGTCAGAAGTCTTGAATCATTTTCATTAGGGTAAAGTCAAGGTGTTCTGCACAGCTGGTTTCTTCTAGAGGCTCTGAAGAGAGAGTTTCCTTGCCTTTTTCAGCTTTTAGCGGCCAGTTATATTCCTTGGCTTGTAGCCCCTTCCTCTGTTTTCAAAGTGCATCACTGTAATCTCTGCTTCCATCATCACATCACCTTCTCCTCTGACTATAGTAAAATATCCCTGTGCCCCGCTCTTAAAAAAGCACTTGTTTACCTGAATTGAACCTTAGAAAGACTGGAAAAAACAACACTTGTTGGCCGGGTGCGGTGGCTCATGCCTGTATTCCCAGTACTTTGGGAGGCCGCAACAGGCAGATCACGAAGTCAAGAGATTGAAACGATCTCTTGCCAACATGGTGAAACCCTGTCTCTACTAAAAAAAATTAGGTGTGGTGGCGTGTGCCTATAATCTCAGCTACTCAGGAGGCTGAGGCAGGAAAATAGTTTGAACCCCAGAGGTGGAGGTTGCAGCGAGCCAAGATTGTACCATTGCACTCCAGCTGTGGGTGACAAGACTCCATCTCAGTGGTGGGGGGTGGGGAAGAAAGTAGATAAGGACACAGTAAATTTGGATTGCTGGCTATGATGGTTTGTGCCTATAGTCATAGTTACTGTGAAGGCTGAGGTGTGACGATTGCTTGAGCTAAGGAGTTTGGGACTGTAGGGCACTGTGCTGATTGGGTGTCCATACTGAGACTGGCATCAATGTGGTGGCCTCCTAGGAGCAGGGAGAACTACCAGGTTGCCTAAGTGAAGGTGAATGAGCCCAGGTCAGAAATGGACCAGGTCAGAACCCCCCTGCTCATCAGTAGTGGAATCTTGCTTGTGAATAGCCATTGCACTCCAGCCTGTGCAACATAGCAAGACCCTGTCTCTAGAAAACGTTGAGCCGGGCGTGGTAGTAGGTGCCTGGAATCCCAGCTACTTGGGAAGCTAAGGCAGGAGAATCACTTGAACCCGGGATGCAGAGGTTGCGATGAGCTGAGATTGCGCCATTGCACTCCAGCCTGGGCAATAAGAGCGAGACTCCATCTCTAATAAAAAAATAAAATAAATAAAAGAGTTGAAATTAGTCAGGTGTGGTAGTGTGCACCTGTAATCCCAGCTACTCGGGAGGCTGAGGGAGAACAATCGCTTGAACCTGGGAGGTGGAGGTTTTAGTGAGCTGAGATCCTGCCACTGCACACTGCATTCAAGCCTGGGTGACAGAGCAAGACTCCAACTCAGAAAAAAAAAAAAAAAGCTTTTTTTTCCCCATTTTTTCAGAATAAGTTGACTGAACAACTTTAAATATCATGATGACGTAGTCTGTCATGTGGATCCTTGGGGAAAATGGTAGTTAGACATATCTCTAAATATATTTCTGCCATGAGATAGCTCTCTGTATATATTCAACTGGTCTGTTTGTCTTTTTAAATACCACAGGTAGCAGATGTCCTTCAGTTTTCCATGGAAACGGGTGGCTATCTTCCAAACTGCATCACTACTTTGCAAGAGAGTTTAATCAAACACCTTAAAATAGCCCCTAAATATCTCTTTTTTCTAGAAGAGAAACAAAAACTGATTCAGGTGAGTGTTAAAGGATGTTCTGTATGACATTATCTTTTTTCAAGTGTTTTCTGAGCAGTTTTGTCAGCCTGTTACATAGAAAAACGACAGCTGCCATGTAATCATAGGAACATTGCCGAAATCTTAACTGTGCCAAATGGGAACAGTTTATATCTGGTCTCAAGTGGATAAAAGCCAAGATCCAGGTTTGTTGGCTATCTTAGCATTCTTAGGCCAGCCGTGGTGGCTCACATCTGTAATCCCACCACTTCAGGAGGTCAAGGCGGGTGAATCACCTGAGGTCAGGAGTTCAAGACCAGCATGACCAACATGGTGAAATCTTGTTTCTACTAAATATACAGAAGTTAGCTGGGCATGGTGGCCGGTGTCTATAATCTCAGCTACTCAGGAGGCTGAGGCAAGAAAATCACTTGAACCCAGGGTTGGGGCTGGGGTGGTGGAGGTTGAGGTGAGCCAAGATGCGCCGCTCCACACTTCACTCCAGCCTTGGCAACAGAGACTCTGTCTCAAAAAATAAAAATAAATAAAAAGTCTTATTTTTTATTTTTTTTTAAGATGGGGTTTCACCATGATGGCCAGGCTGGTCTTGAACTCCTGACCTCAGGTGATCCACCCATCTCTGCCTCCCAAAGTGCTAGGGTTACAGGCGTGAGCCACTGCGCCTGGCCAAAAGCATTCTTGAATAAATTTTCTAGCTGGGTCAAGGGGGGAGTTTTTGTGGGAATTTGGATCAAGTCAATGGGACGAAATCACCCTAGTTATTTATCCCAAAGTAAGGTGAATTTTCTTTAGCTCCTGATAATCCTTGCATGCTAAGTTAGGTCATAAATATATTGGATACAATTCTGTTCACATAATCAAGTTTGCTGCCTCTAGCTTTGATAAGTCTTGATTGACCAACCTGCCTCTTCCTCTACCCCTCTCTTTCTCTGTTTTACACACACACTGTTAATGCAGGAGTATGTGTGCAAGTGGGTGTATGCTCAAAGGCTATCGATAGTGTGAAAGTAGAAGGTAATAATAGAAGAAAATGATAGTGTCTTAAATTAAGCAACACTTAAACAGTTATTTTCTTTAAAGTCTTGCTTACTATTCAGAGGAAATTGTTTTATTGTCTCCAGGAAAATCCAGAAGTATGGTTCATCCGACCTGTTTCACCCTCTTTACTGAAAATTTTGGCCCTGGAAGCTACCTACCTATTACCCCTTCGCTTGGCACTCCTAGATGAGATGATGTCTGACCTAACCACTCTGGTGGATGGATATCTAAACACATACCGTGGAGGGTCTGCAGACCGTCTTGGAGGCATCGAGGTAGCTGCAGCTCTCTGTCTTCAGAACCTCCTTTCGGCCTTCTTCCCATGGAAGGCAGACAAAGTGATACTCTTTCTTAATAGCTGCAATAATTTTGATGGGGCAAACGTGGTGATAAACATTCTTGAAGGGGCAACAGCTTGGGCATGATCCATCCCCTTGAACACCTTTTCATAATATTAAGTTAGGTTTCCAAGAAATATTTCTATCTAAGAATGGGTAAGTTTAATATTTCTGTATTTATGTATTCTATTTTAGTTTTTTGAAATGAAGTCTCACTGTCACTCAGGCTGGAGTGCAATGGCATGATCTTAGTTCACTGCAACCTCCACCTCTGGGGTTCCAGCAATTCTCCTGCTTCAGCCTCCTGAGTAGCTGGGATTACAGGCACATGCCACCACACCCAACTAATTTTTGTATTTTGGGTAGAGATGGGATTTCACAATGTTGGCCAAGCTGGTCTCAAACTTCCAACCTCAGGTGATCTGCCTGCCTCGGCCTCCCAAAGTGTTGGGATTATAGGCATGAGCCACTGTGCCTAGCCTAATATGCCTCCCCTTTCCTCCCCTTTCGTTATTTCCCCTCCCCTCTTCTTTCTCTAATGGAGTCTTGCTCTGTTGCCAGGCTGGAGTGCAGTGGTACAATATCGGCTCACTGCAACCTCTGCCTCCTGGGTTTAAGTGATTCTCCTGCCCCAGCCACCAGAGTAGTTGGAACTACAGGTGCATGCCACCACGCCCAGCTAATTTTTGTATTTTTAATAGAGACAGGATTTCACCATGTTGACCAGGATGATCTCGATCTCTTGACCTCGTGATCTACCCGCCTTGGCTCCCAAAGTGCTGGGATTACAGGTGTGAGCCACCACATTCAGCCTTTTTTTGTTTTTGAGATAGAATCTTACTCTGTCACCCAGGCTGGAGTGCAGTGGTGCAATCTTGGCTCACTGCAACCTCTACCTCCTGAGTTCAAGTGATTTTCCTCCCTCAACCTCCTGAGTAGCTCGAATTATAAGCATGCACTGCCGTGCCCAGCTAATTTTTGTATTTTTAGTAGAGATGGGGTTGGTTAGGCTGCTTTGGAACTTCTCACTTCATGTGATCTGCCCACCTCAGCCTCCCAAAGCACTGGGATTACAGGTGTGAGCCACTGGGCCCAGCCCTTTTTCCTGACTCTATCAATCCACAATTGGTTGAATCCATGGATGCAGAACTCATGGATATGGAAAGCATCTCAAGAGAGAAGACTGCGTATTTGTTTGAGAACATTAATATCAGGAATGTACAAAAATTGTGACAATCACCACTATTTTAGCATTTTTGAAGCTATTACTGAAACTAGAAAATAAAATATGAGCTATGAAAATTGAATAAAGGAATTGGAATTATGACTTGCCAGTTACACAACTAAAAACTGAAGAGAATCAACTGAAAAAGACTACCACAAACAAAAAGGCAATTTGTAAAGTGCCTGGTACATACGTAAAAATTAATAGCTTTTTGATATCCGTATGAGCAGCTAGAAAATATAATCAGAGGCTGGGTGTGGTGGTTCATGCCTATAATTTCAGCACTTTGGGAGGCTGAGGAGGGAGGATCACTTGAGCCCAGGAATTCAAGACCAGCCTGGGCAGTGTAGTGAAACCGTCTCTTCAAAAAATTTAAAAATTAGCCAGGTGTGGTAGCACACACCTGAAGTTCCAGCTACTCTGAGCTGGGGAGGCTGAGGTGGGAGAATTGCTTGAGCCCAAGAGGTGGAAGTTGCAGTAAGCCATGATCATACCACTGCATGTCAGCCTATATGACAGAGCAAGGCCCTGTCACCAAAAAAAAAAAAAAAAAAAAAAAAAAAATTAGGCATGGTGGCATGTACCTGTGGTTCCAGCTATTCAGGAGGCTGAGGCAGGAGGATCACAAAGTTAGAGGTTACAGGAGTTAGAGGTTACAGTGAGCCATGATCACATCATTGCACTCCAGCTTAGGCAACAGAGCAAGACCCTGTCTCAAAAAAAAAACCGTCCCCCAAACCTGAAAGAGTTAACAAAATAAAAATTTGGAGGAAAAGAAAAATGTAATCTGATGAAAAAAATATGTATATGTATATGATCATACATGAGTAGACTACATTTGGTAGATAACACAAGAAACTGAGAATATGTACCTGCTAAGGCAACTGAAGCCAGGTTGGAAGGGAAACTGTATAATTTTTATACATATGTGCATACACACACAGACACACAGCTCTATGGATTCACTGCCTTTACAAAATATGGAAATTACTAGAAAAATGGTACTACTATAGTTGAAGACACCAGAGGGTGCTATATGAACACATTTGAATAGACCCTCATTTACCAATTACCATTTGTACAATAGAAGTGATTTCAGGCTGGGCACGGTGGCTCATGCCTGTAATCCCAGGATTTAGGGAGGCTGAGGCGGGTGGATCACAAGGTCAGATAGAGACCATCCTGGCCAACATGGTGAAACGCTGTTTCTACTAAAACTACAAAAATTAGCTGGACATGTGGAGTGTGCCTGTAATCCCAACTACTCAGAAGGCTGAGGCAGGAGAATCACTTGAACCAGGGAGTCAGAGGTTGCAGTGAGCCGAGATCGCGTCACTCTACTCCAACCTGGCAACAGAATGAGACTCTGTCTCAAAATACAAAAGAAGTGATTTTAAGTACCATATTCAGAAGTTTAGTTATAGTAAACTTGTGTTTACTTTCTCTTCTTAGCCTACATGTATGGAGCTGCCAGAGGAACTGCTTCAACTCAAGGACTTCCAGAAGCAGCGCAGAGAGAAAGCTGCAAGAGAATATAGGGTGAATGCAAAGGGACTCCTTATAAGGACAGTGCTACAGCCAAAGAAATTAGTGACAGAGGCAGCAAGGAAACAGAATGTCAAAGGTTTCCTATTTGGTAAAAATTCTAGGATAGATAAAACTCCAAGTTTTACATGTCAAGACTTTCATGGGGATGTGAATTTACTGAAAGAAGAATCTATGAATAAACAAGCTACAAAACCTCAACATCTACCTCCCATAGAAGAAAGGGAAACCAGTGAGGATACCAGTAACAAAATCATTTGCCCTGAGTCAAAGGGGTCAGAGGACCAGAGAATAACTCAGAAAGAACACTTTATGACACCCAAACATGAGTTTCAGGCAAATTTATCTTTGAAAGAGAAGATAGAACAGTTATTGATGGTGGGAAAAAAGGAAGATTTAAAATGCACAAAACAGGCTGTTTCAGTGTCTCCTTCTCTTTCTCAGGACACCAGAGTGTCTCTAAGTAACACCTTTTATCCTACAAGAAATGCTGTGCTTTCCGCACTCCCTCCCTGTCCAGCCTTGGAGAAGGCTCATTCCTGGATAAATGCCTCTCTAAATCTTTCTTAGAGACGCACAGTTTGTTCTTGAGGCCATGCGGGTGGCTTATTTCCTTTGCCATCAGGGCCTTCCACAGTGCCTAAGTTTCTCATGTTGTAAATTTAGTAATGCTTCAGTTACAGGGGAAAATTATATTCTCTTGCTTACTCTGGTGTTCATGGTATGTGGAGAACGAGAATGAATAAGTTATGTGAATAATGGAAGAAGTGTAATTTCTGATTATGTCATTGTGCAGAAATGTTCGAAGTGACCAGAGTGTGTTATTTCTCATAAAAGGGTTTAGAGGATACCCTCATAGGATAGGTTTAGAGGATTTGAAGAAAGGAAAAGGGTTTAGAGGATTTGAAGAAAGGAAAAATATTGGAATCTTGGGCTTAGATTCAGGAAGACTCCATCATTTAAAAATTTTGTTTTACTTCTTGGCTTTTGGATTCCTTTGAAGTGAGCTGGTAAAACTATTAATGATTCATTTTAAAAATTGGTATCTGATAACTTTACCAGTATATTTTTCTTTTTATTTATTTTTTTAATTGCTCCTATGGGCTACCCCATAGGCAGTGTCCCCAGAGTAGCCACTTTTTTCCTTTTTAAAATGTATTAACTTTATGTTTGAATGTTGAATGTGTTGTCTGTCTCATAGGTGAATAGTTAATGTTATAGGAATCAGTACTTTAGTATTTGGTTTTTTTGATGGGGTCTCACTCTGTCATCAAGGCTAGAGTACAATGGCATGATCACTGCTCACTGCAACCTCTGTCTCCCAGGTTCAAGCTATTCTCCTGGCTCAGCCTTCTGAGTAGCTGGGATTATAGGTGTGTGCCACCACACTTGGCTAATTTTTTGTATTTTTAGTAGAGACGGGGTTTCACCATGTTGCCCAGGCTAGTCTCAAACTCCTGACCTCAAGTGATCCACCCTCCTCCGGCTCCCAAAGTGCTGGGATTACAGGTGTGTGCCACAATGCCCAGCCAGTATCTTACTTTTAATTTTTTTCCTTTACTTTTAGCTAATTTTGTCCATTTTCCTAACAAAGCGGGGACCCTGGGTTTCTTTTTAGTCTATTATATAAACTTGAAGTCTGACTGTATTCTATTTGCCTGGAGTTAGTATACTTTCTTAGGTTGAAAGGAAGGCAGCTTGTATTGAGCCTTTTAAAGTATTGAATGCTTGCAAATTGCTCACATTCTTTTGTGTAAAATAATCAATAAACCTGTATGGCATACTAAAAAATAATCTCTTTTCTTAACTGGGTCAGGGTAGAAAGCAATGTCTGGATTTCTAGGTCCAGAGTCCAGTTTATAAATCTGTGTGATTTGGCTCTGTTATTTTTGCACTTAGGAACAGTATAAGATTAGGAACATCCTTGTTTGCACTACTTGATTCTATTATGAGTGCCACTGAAAGAATTGCTATGCCTTTCCAAACTCCAGAGCCCAGATCTAATCTGAGGTTAAGTTTAAGGCTTGGCTGGGCGTGGTGGCTCTTGCCCGTAATCCCAGCCCTTTGGGAGGCTGAGGCAGCTGGATGATTTGAGGTCAGGAGTTTGAGACCAGCCTGGCCAACGTGGTGTAACCCCGTCTCTGCTAAAAATATAAAAAACTGAGCCAGGTACAGTGGCATGTGCCTGTAATCCTAGCTATTTGGGAGGCTGAGGCAGGAGAATCTCTTGAACCCAGGAAGTAGAGCTTGCAATGAGCAGATATTGCACCACTGCAATCCAGCCTGGGCCACAGAGTGAGACTGTGTCACCAAAAAAAAAAAAAAAAAGGCCGGACACAGTGGCTCATGCCTATAATCCCAGCACTTTGGGAGGCCAAGGCAGGCGTATCAGTTGAGGTCTGGACTTTGAGACCAGCTCAGCCAACATGGGGAAACCTCTGTCTACCAAAAATACAAAAGTTAGCTGGGTGTTGTAGCAGGTGCAGGTGCCTGTAATCCCAGCTACTTGAGAGGCCGAGGCAGGAGAATCTCTTGAACCTGGAAGTGGAGACTGCAGTGAGCTGAGTTCTCGCTGTTGCACTCCAGCCTGGGCAACAGAGTGAGATAACGTCTCAAAAAAAAAAAGTTCTGCTGGATAGATAGCGCGCTTGAGAAGTACTGACTCCCCAGACTACATGAGCCTTTTGGGCTTCAGCATTCTCTTAAGTGAAACACTCATCTATACCTGAAACAGCATTTTTCTCTACATCTTCATTCTAGCCTGGAGTGCCTACCTAAATTCTATGTGTGTGGTTACACCCTACCACAAATGTCTGCTTTTGCTAGATTGAGCTTAAAAAATTCCTGTTACTCAAACCTATGGCTAGTGCTGTATGCTATTACCCAGATTTCTTGTCTAAATTGTGGGAAATCCTGCACTTTTGTCTCAACCCATTGTTCAGTTCTTTACTTTGTATTCTCCTAGTATGAGAGGTCATAAACCACGCTTCCTTGTTTCCCAAACTCTTGGAGTCTTGCTGTAGTCTACCACTAATTTTCTATATCCCCTCTACTCAGCTGAAATTTCTATACATAACATAATTAGAGATTCACAAGTCATCTGACCCTTTTAGTGTTGGAATAAGGAAAGAAGGTTAAATGACCACTCTGGACAAAAATGCAGCACTGAACAGGGAACCAGTGTTTCTGGGCTTCTTGTTCCTTTCAGCATTCTTTCAACTATAGTATGAAAAGTCACTGCAGCAGCTTTGCCCATATCTGTCTATGGGCTTGATAAATTATGATACATTAGGACTTTAATTCCCTAAAGGCAATTCTATCTTATCTTATCATTTGAGACAAGGCATGTCCCAACAGTGAGCTGAGATGAGGCCTTCGGTAAACCAGAGTGCCTGGGTGCAGTTGACTCACTGAGTCAGCCAGGTAATTTGTCAAAAAGGTACTTATTTTAAAACTAATACATCTGCAGAAATTCAATGTGTAAAATAAAAAATAACTTACAAAACATTTAGAAAATAAGATTAAAAAAACCACCACAGCCCTACTTTATACAATCCTTCCTGGCATTTTGATACTTTTCTTTCTATTCTCTCTCTCCCCCACCATACACACACACACACTTGAAACATAATTACAATTACACTGGAAATACAATTTTTGTGCTTTTGGTATGTATTTTTCTGTTTCGATATTTCATCATTTGATATTATGTATTTTTCTAGTGTGCTTATGTATTTTTAATTTTAAATCCTAACAGCCATCATTTTCATTAGCTATTTTATTTTTAATTTTAATTTTTTTTTTTTTTTTTTAAGACAGGGTCTCACTCTGTCATCCAGGCGAAAGTGCAGTGGCACAATCTCGGTTCACTGCAACCTCCGCCTCCCGGGCTCAAGTGATCCTCCCACTTCAGCCTCCCAAGTAGCTGGGGCTACAGGCACACACCAGCAGGCCCAGCTAATTTTTGTATTTTTAGTAGAGATGGGGTTTCACCATGTTAGCCAGGTTGGTCTTAAACTCCTGACCTCAGGTGATCCACCTGCCTTGGCCTCTCAAAATGCTAGGATTATCAGATGTGAGCCACCAAGCCTGGCAGGATGTATTAGATACTTATTTTATTTTATTTTATTTATTTATTTTTTATTTTTTTGAGACAGAGTTTCCCTGTTATTGCCCAGGCTGGAGTGCAATGGCATGATCTCAGCTCACTGCAACCTCTGCCTCCCCAGTTCAAGTAATTCTGCCTCAACCTCCTGAGTAGCTGGGATTACAGGCATGCACCACCATGCCTGGATAATTCTGCATTTTTAGTAGAGATGGGGTTTCTCCATATTGGTCACACTAGTCACAAATTCCCAATCTCTGGTGATCCGCCCACCTTGGCCTTCCAAAGTGCTGGGATTACAGGCGTGAGCCACGGAGCCCTGCCTGTTTGTTTGTTTGTTTGTTTTTGATGGAGTCTTGCTTTGTCGCCTGGGCTGAAATGCAGTGGGGTGATCTCAGTTCACTGAAACCTCTGCCTCCTGGGTTCAAGCGATTATTCTGCCTCAGCCTTCTGAGTAGCTGGGATTACAGGTGTGCACCACAATACCTGGCTAACTTTTGTATTTTTAGTAGAGATGGGGTTTCACCTTGTTGGTCAGGCTGGTCTCAAACTCCCGATATCAGGTGATCCGCCTGCCTCTGCCTCCCAAAGTGCTAGGAGCTGCTGTGCCTGGCCTTGATATTTCATTTTAAAATTAATATGATATTAAATAGAATTTGGGAAATGGCTGGGCATGGTGGCTAGCTCTTTAGGAGGGCAAGGTGGGAAGACTGCTTGAGCCTGGTGAGCTAGAATCACACCACTGCAATCCAACCTGGGCAACAGAACAAGATCCTGTGTCTAAAATATAAATAAAATATAATTTGAAAAAATAGGAAAATAGAGAAAAATAACTTTATTTCTCTAACCTAATGGAGAAATTAACAAATTAACCTAATTTGTTAATTCCAGACTCTATGGATAGGACTTTCTTCCCACTACAAAGCTGTAATCATGCATGTGTATTTTTCATGCCCTATGCATGCTTTCCTGTGCTGTTTTACAAACTAAAGAATTTTAATGACTGCATTATATTTCTAAGAAGATAGAGTATGGCTTAACTCTTTGGGTATATTCAGGTTGTTTCCAATGATGTTTTTTTTTTTTTTTTTTTGAGACAGAGTCTTGCTCTGCTGCCAGGTGCCAGGCTGGAGTGCAATCTCTGCCTCCTGGGTTCAAGCAATTCTCCTGCCTCAGCCTCCCGAATAGCTGGGACTACAGTGCACGCCACCACGCCCAGCTAATTTTTGTATTTTGTAGTAGAGACGGGGTTTCACCATGTTGGCCAGGATGGTCTTGATCTCCTGACCTTGTGATCCGCCCGCCTTGGCCTCCCAAAGTGCTGGGATTACAAGTGTGAGCCACCACGCCCAGCCGTTTCCAATGATTTCATGCGTAAAGATTTTTCCGCCGGGCGCGGTGGCACGTACCTGTAGTCCCAGCTACTCGGGAGGCTGAGGTGGGAGGATCGCTTGAGCCCAGGAGTTCTGGGCTGCATGCGCTATGCCGATCGGGTGTCCGCACTAAGTTTGGCATCAATATGGTGACCTCCCGGGAGCCGGGGACCACCAGGTTGCCTAAGGGGTTGAACCAGCCCAGGTTGGAAACGGAGCAGGTCAAAACTCCCGTGCTGTGGGATCGCGCCTGTGAATAGCCACTGCACTCCAGCCTGGGCAACATAGCAAGACCTCCTCTCTTAAAAAAGAAAAAAGAAAAAAAGATTCTTCCATGTCCTGGATCATTTGTTAGAATGAAAAGCCAAAATTAGAACTTGCAAATCAAAGGGTTTGTTTTTACCAATTTTTTTTTACAGCTCCTGTTAAGTTGCTTTCTAAAAGCCTTAACCAATTATATTGGCACCTCCAATTTTTGTAATAATCACCATTGAGAGTATGAGATTTTTTCTTTTTTTTTTTTTTTTTTGTGGCAGGGTCTCACTCTGTCACCCAAGCTGGAGTGCAGTGACATGATCTTGGCTTACTGCACCCTCCACCTCCCTGGTTGAAGCGATTCTCCCACCTCAGCCTCCTGAGTAGCTGGGATTACAGGCATCCACCACCATGCCCAAATAGTTCTGTAGTTTCGGTAGAGATGGGGTTTCATCGTGTTGGCCAGACTGGTCTTGAACTCCTGACTTCAAGCGATCCACTTGCCTCGGCCTCCCAAAGTGCTGAGATTACAGGTGTGAGCCACTAAATCCAGTGGAGAGCATGAGATTTTTTTTCTTGAGAGGCATGGCATACTTTTAACTTTCAAAATTCAAATCTTAAAGATTTCTTGTCATTTTTTTTGTAAATTACCTGAATTGGATGCAATGAAAATCAATGAGAACATAAGTATTAGGAACATGTAAATCCTGATAAATGTTCCTAATCTCTAAGGATGATGTTATGTATAATATATCTTAATCATAGAAAAGTTAACATACTCATTATAAAAGGTTACTTTGAAATGTCTTCAGAGCTGGGCCGGAAGAGGTGGGTCACGCCTGTAATCCCAGCAGTTTGGGAGGCCAAGACGGGTGGATCACTTGAGATCGGGCATTCGAGACCAGGCTGGCCAATATGGTGAAACCCTGTCTGTACTAAAAATACAAAAATTAGCCAGGCATGGTGGCACACACCTGTAATCTCACCTACTCGTGAGGCTGAGGCAGGAGAACTGCTTGAACCCAGGAGGCAGTAGTTGCAATGAGCTGAGG